ATCCTGTCGGTGGATGAGAGAATTCGGGCGGACAGCCGCGACGTCCAGATCCTCAGCGCCTCTCAAATGGCTTCCGTCACCAACTTGCTGCTGGCCCAGTGCCAGCAGGGTGTCCCAGCAGGCGAGGACGGGGCCTACTGCGGCGCCCTCGCGGTGGCCCAGGACATCCTGAAGGAGGCGCTGCCCGGGGGTCCGGCGGGAGCCAGGCAGAGCCCGGAGGCCGGGGGGCTGCCTCCGAAGGGACCAGCGCGGCCAGCCCGCAGACAGCCTCGCCAGCGGCCCGGGGACCGGCCGCGGAGGGCAGGGGCCAGGCAAGAGCCCAGGGGGCCGTCGGGGCGGCGTTCTGGCGGCAAGGAGGTCAGGGGCGGAGGCCACAGAGCCCCCCCGGTGCGCAGGAAGGCCGGTCCGGGGCCCAGGGAGGGGCGCACGCGGCCTTCGCAGAGGTCGGGCGTGCGCCCAGGTGTCGCTTCGCTGGCGGGCGCCCGGCCCCGCCCAGGGGCCAGCGGGCAGGGGCACCCCCCGGGAGCTCTGCCCCTGCATCGCACAGCCAAGCAGAAAAGCCCGGGCGGCCTCCAGTGCCCGCGTCCGGGGCGTCTGGCCGCTGCGCCCCCGGCTCTGGAAGAAGAGGCCAAGGCGCCGGCCGGCCCCTCCGGAGGCCCCAGCTCCTCGGAGGACCCCGGGGCCGGGGCCGCCCAGCAGGGCCACGCCGCCGCCTCCTCCCCGGGCACGCCGCCCGGCCCCGCGCCGCGCCGGTCCCTGCGCCTGGCAAACAGAAGGCGGAGGCTGCGAGGCCCAGGGCTGGGCGCCGCTCCCCCGGGACTGCCGCCTCCGGGGGCCTCAGCGGCCGCGCGCCCCACCCGCACCCGCGCCCCGGGCGGCCACGGCCGTGGCCCCCCGCGCCCGGCCTCCCCGCCGCAGCCGCGGCCCATCGAAAGAGGGACCATGGTCTGGTTCAAATTTCAGCACCACCCGTTCTGGCCCGCGGTGGTGCAGAGCGTCGACGAGGCCAAGCAGACGGCCAGGGTGCTCCTGATCCGGGCGGACATGCGCCGCGGCAAGAGCGGCATCCCCGTGCCCCTCCGCAGGCTCCGGCACCTGGAGTGCGGCGAGAAAGACACGCTGGTGCGCAGAGCCAGGAAGGGCTACCCGCTCAGCCTGGACTGGTGCCTCGCGCTGATCGCCCACTACAGGGAGGGGCTGGGCCGCAGGGCCTTCGCGGGCTCCTTCCTGGACTACTACGCGGCCGACGCCAGCTACCCGGTGAGGAGAGCCGTCCAGGAGGGCGAGCTGCGGGTGGACTTCCCCAAGGTGGACTACGCCGACCTGGAGGACTCCGACGACGACGACGACAACGACGGAGCCGCCGCCGCCCCCGGCGCCAAGACGGCCCGCAAGAAGCTGCTGCCCGACCGCATGAAGGCCGCCCGGGACCGGGCCAACCAGAAGCTGGTGGACTTCATCGTGAGGCGCAAGGGGGCCGACCGCCACCTCCTGGACGTCGTCACGGGCAGGAGGCCGTCCCGCTGGCTGGAGTCCTTCCTGAGCTCCACCAGGTACGTCATCTGCGTGGAGACCTACCTGGAGGACGAGGACCAGCTGGACGCCGTGGTCGGGCACCTGCAAGACATCTACCCGCACGTGGACAGGCGGGTGCTGGCCCTGAGGGACGACCGGGTGAGCTTCGTGCTGGAGGTCCTGCTGCCGGAGGCCGTCATCTGCGCCATCGCCGCCCTCGACGGGCTCGACTACAAGGCGGCGGAGGAGAAGTACCTGCGGGGGCCGCCCGTGCGGCGCCGGGAGAAGGAGCTGTTCGACAAGGACATCCTGAAGCAAGTGAGGAAGAGGGCAGCCGCGCGGCCCGAGCTCGCCCAGTGACCCCGCCCGGCCCGGGCCCCGGCCCCCCCCGCCCCCCCCCGCCCCTCCCCGCCAGTCCCATCCTTTCGCGCGGGGAGCGGGCAGCCTGGCACGCATCTGCCCCCCAAGAAGCAGCCGTCGCCCTCAAAGCAAGCCCCTCGGTGCGGCGCTCGTCCGCGGGCCAGCTCCCGCGGGCTCTGTCGGCGTCGAGGCCGCCCGGGGAGCCGCACGGCCGCCCGAGCCCCGCGGGCCGCCTGGCCGTCCCGTCGGGCCGCGGGTGACGGGCCTCGCTGGGCCGGGTCCGCCGTCCTCCCGGCGCGAGGGCCGCGCGTCTCCAGGAGGGCTGCGAGCCCGTGGCCTTGGAGTGTTGGCACCCGTGTCAGAGGCCCCGCCCGAAAATAAACACCAGACGCTTCGCTTCTGGCTGCGCGTGGGTTTGTCTGCCGGGCCTGCAGGAAGGGCCGTCGTCTGCCCTCGGGCTACGAGCCTGACAGGGAGGCCCCCCGCGTGCTGACCCGAGCCCTCCCGCCCCCCAAGCACCCGCGGGGCTGCACCGCGTGCTCCCTGCTCGCCCCCTCCCTCCTCCTCTCTTTGATCGGCCTCCTCCTCCTCCTTCCTCCTCTCCCCCCACTCCTCCTCCTCGCCCCCCGCGTCCTCCTTGGCCCCCACGCCCCCGCTCCCCGGGCAGCTCTGGAGGGCTGGGTTGAGCTCCCGCGGGGCTGAGCCTGTCTTGGCGTCTCCGCATCCCCCTTGCCCCGACGTGGCCGCGGCAGGTCGGGGGCCACATCCTGCACACGCTAGCTCGGGATTTCCCGGGCCGCCCGGTGCCCTTCGCCTCAGCTTGTGCTCAGCACACCCCGCGGTCGCGCGCCTGCGGGCGGGCCTTCTTGGCCTCGGCGCTGCCCTCCCACGGCCAGGTCGGTGTGTTTGGGTGGGGCAGCCCCTGCCCCATCTTCAGCCTCTAGACAGGAAGGGGGTCAATGCCGGTGCTCCCGGAGCCCACAGTGTCCCTGAGGAGAGACAAGGGGATGCTTGGACCCGGTCCCTCTCATTTTTTTTTTATTCCAAAAGGGCAGGTCCATGATGACCGGGCGAGAAGGGTGAAGAATGCCTGCAGAGACCCAGGTGCTCAGCAAGCTCCCCAAGAGGGACAGATTTGTTCAGAAAGACTTTCCTGCAGGGCCCGCGTGGGCAGAAGTGCTGCTACCCCTGCTGCCCTTTTTTAACCTGGGCCACTCTCTGAAGAGAGGCCGCTGTGCTTGTGGCGTGCCTGTCTTTCTGGGTGAGCCGCGGCCAGGCTGGGCTGTGGAGCTGTATGTGTGGCTGTGCGCGCGCCCCCCGAGGTGTCTTCTCGCCTGAGCCCAAGCGGTAGGCGACCCTGAGCTGGCCCTGGGCTGCTTCTTGAACACGGGTCTGCAGATCTGATGTGACGGCCTGCCTGGCCCCGGGCCACCCCCCTCAGCTGAGGGGAAGCCCATGCCTCCAGCCATGAGGCAGATGGGTACACACTCAGTCTGGTCCTGCGGGTTGGCAGTTGTGCCAAGACGGCATACCCGGCATGGATGGGTCTCTACGCTGACACGTAGAGAGGTCTGAGAGAGAAACGTCCCAAGTTCTGAGGCAGGCCCTTCAGATCTTCCCTCGAGGAAGTCAGAGCCCTTGTGCTCCAAACAGTTGCGCTTTGGGCCGTCAGGGCACCTACCTACCTCCAACAGTTGGTTCAACGACCCTGGCCTCTGCCAGCCTCCATGCTGTGCCCTCTCCCCTGCCAAGATGCTCTGCTCTGGGGCTCTGGCCCAGGGGATGTGGCCTGAGTCTGACTGGAGGGAGGCCCTCCTCACACCCGAGCACCACCGTCCTCATTCTCTCCAATGCCATTGCCACCCAGCGCTCTTCCGGGCCACAGGGGCGCTCAGGGCCGCGTCCCTGTCCCACATCCACATACAGCCCTTCACGGAGGAGGGAGGTCTCTCTGACCACACAAGCCTGTTGCTCCCCACTGGCCAGCGCTGAGGCCATGGGGATGCCAACAGCCAGTTACTTTGTACCACGGGGTTGGCACACCCCCTCTGTCCTCATCTCACATGGCACAAGGGCCTGCTGTGGCCTCTGGGTGCCTCCTAGACAGCCCTTTCTTCAGCCGTTGTCCTGAGTGAGCCGCTAGTTCGGAGGCCCCTCATGCTGCTGTGGGCTGCTCCTTTCCCCGACAAGAGTGCCCTGGGTGCGCAGCGCACCTGTCCCTGCACGCTGTCTCAGCCTCTCCCCAGTGTCCGTTCTCAGGAAGGGTGTCTTGCTGACTCATCAGCCACTGCCCAGGTCTGTGCTGCCCACTGTCTGGGGGACGGTAAGTAAGGGGAGGCTCCGAGTCCTGGGCTACACCACAGGGAGGCTACGGCATGGTGGGTCCCGGACCAGGACTGCTGCTCTCGGACCTCAGGCGCGGGGGCCGAGCAGGCGACATCACTGGCGGCAGCCGGGCCGCGTGACCCACTTGCGCCAGTGGCCCGGCGGTCCCCGGGGCGACGCGGAGGGTCCACGTTGCGGTCTCCGGCCCCGCCCAGGGTCCGCACTGCAGAGAGCGGGGCACGCAGGCGCCAGCCCACGTGCCGCGCCACCTGGGACACCTAGCCAGAGCAGGGGACTGGGGCGCCCTGCGCCGCCCCCAACCCTCCTGCTGGACCCTCGTCCAGGTAGGTCCCCCGCCCGGGAGCAGGTGCCGGCTGGACGGGGTGCGCTCAGTCCAGGGGACCCTGCCACAGCACATCCCAGCAGGACTGCGGCCGCCTGGAGGGGAGGGGAGGGGGTGGAGAGGGGAGGGGGGCGGGCGGCGCAGGCTGGGGGGCTGCAGGGCCTGCAGGTGGGGGCAAGGCTGGGCTCAGAGACTCGGCTGTGGGTGCAGGGGCAGCCAGCCGGCAGTGCTGGGCGTGGGACGGTTGCGGGGCGGGGCTGGTGGCGATGAACCCGCTCTTGTCCTCTTGGGATTCACAGGCTGTGCAGACCCCGGCCCTTCTCCGGAGTCCTAGGCTCCCACCCCAACTGTCCTCCTCCGCTCCCCGCCTCGCTGCTACTCGGGGGTGCGCCAGGACCCGGGAGCCGTCCACTCCCCAACCCTTGCGGGAGCTGGCTGGGGAGGTAGGGGGAGCACCATGGCGGTGGCGATGCTGCGGGCCTGGTGCGGGTGGATGGGCGTCAGCGCTCGCCGGGGGCTGCTCGTCCTGGGCATCCCGGAGGACTGCGATGAAGCTGAGCTCCAAGACTCCCTGGAGGCCGCCCTGGGGCCCTTGGGCCACTTGACCGTGCTGGGCAAAGTATTTCGGGCGGAGGACGACACCACTGCGGCCCTGGTTGAGCTCGACCGGGAAGTCAACTGTGCCCTGGTCCCCAGGGAAATCCTGGGCACCAGAGGTCCCTGGAACATGGTCTTCGTGCCCCGTTGCTCAGGCGCGGAGTCCCTCGGTCACCTGCTCCACTTCCTGGAGCAACAGGGGCAGACGGCGGAGAGCGCGGCAGGCACCCTGGGGCTAGGGCGCATGTGCCGGCTGCGGTCGGTCGGCCAGGCGGTCCAGCCCTGGGTGGAGATCTTGTGCTGCCAGCGCCTGGGCCTGTTTTCTGGGAGGGACCAGCCTGCCCCCGGGGAGGGGCCCTTCGAGGCCTGGCTGGCCCACACGGCCAACACACTGCACGTGTGGCAGGGGTCTCAGAGAGGGAGCGGAGGAGGAGGCTGACGGAGGCCTTCGCGGGGCCACCCTGCAGCTGGTGCGCGGGCTCCGGGCGGAGAACCCTGCCAGGACTGCGCGGGACTGCCTGGCCGCCCTGGCCCAGGTGTTTGGAGACGAGTCGCAGGCTGCCCTCCAGCTGAGGTGTCTGACAGCGCGGCAGCAGCCGGGCGAATGCCTCTCTGCCTTCGTGCTGCGCCTGGAAGTCCTCCTGCGGAAAGGCATCGAGAAGGGGGCCCTGGCCAGTGCCTCGGTGGACCGAGTGCGCCTGAGGCAGGTGCTCACCGGGGCCAACCTCATCGAGCCACCTGAGGCAGCGCTGAGGAAGCTGAGGATGGTGGGGAGGCCTCCGAGTTTTCCGGAGATGCTGGGGCTCGTTCGGGAGTCTGAAGCATGGGAGGCCAGTCTGGCCGGGAGCGGGAGAGTGCAGGCAGAGGGAGGGGGCGGCGCCCCGGCCAGCGCCCAGGCAGGTGCCACAGCCAGTGCGAAGGCAGAGGACGACGAGGTGAAAGAGCAGGAGCAAGGGGTACAGGAGCAGGGGGAGGGTGTCGGTCATGACCATGACCCCACGCCTGCCAGCCTGGGTGGGGCAGCACCCTCGGAGGCCCCCGGGGGCCCCACACCGGGCCAGATAGGTAGCCCAGGAGGGCCCAGGAGGGCCCAGGAGGCCCTGGCTGCGAGCCAGCGGGTCTCGCCCAGGCAGGGGCCCAGGAGGCCGAGGAGCCCCCAGAGGAGGGTCTCAAGCCCACCCCGGAGGAGTGGGGGCCGGGGCTGGGGCTGGGGGCCCAGCCATCCCGAGTCCTCCTCGGGAAAATAGGCTCAGGGGGTCTGGGTGGGGCCTCCTGTCCTCTGGGGCAGCAGAGTCCCCCCCTTTCTGGGGAGCAGGGCCCAGCCCCCACCGAGCCCAGGGGACCCTCACCTCCCCGGGGGCCCTGGCCACAGCCGCCAGCCCTCCCTGGTGATGAGATGACGGCGTTTGATGCCAGCGGGGCGGCCAGAGGGGCCTCTCGCCCTCCCGCTCCAGGCCCGCCCCAGCGGCTCCGCGCCCAGCCCAGCCCCCAACCCCGCCACCGGGGCAGCTGGCCCGGGAGCACCCGAGGACCTCGGCCGCCCCGCTTGTCTGGGGGACGAGTGGGCCCTCTCGAGGCTGCGGGCCAGCTGGGGCTCTGGAGGCGGGGCGGGCACCCCCCCCCCCCCCGCTCGCCCCGGGGGCAGCCGCTCGGTGTTGGGCAAGCCCACCTGTGTCTCTGGGGCCCCACGGAGACCCGGGCGTGCTAAGTGAACCCGCCCCCGTGCACACATGGCTCCTGTGCAGGGCCCGGCGCGGCTGGGGACCCCGGCGGGTGTCCGCCTGCCGGGGCAGCCGCCCCCCGGGCCGGGCTCGTGCCAGCCGGGCTCCCCCTCCGCCCAGCGTCCCGAGGGCGACCCCCGCTTTCCCGCTGTAGGCTCGGGCTGACGGCTGCCTGTCCTTGCGCAGAGGCGTGTGCGCTGCCAGCTGGCCCGGCCCGGCCCGGCCGCGGGAGACGGCGGGAAGGAAGGCGGGCCGGGGGTGGCCGGCGCCCACGCTGCCCCGGAAGGGGCCTGGCTCTGCCGCGCCGCCCTCTTCTTGCTTGTCCCTCGGTTTCCCGGGCCGGGGGTCCCCGCTGTGCTTCCTCTCCAGCGCGCCCTGACTGTCCCGCGGGGGCCCAGGGCACGGTCCCGCCCCGGCGTGGCGGCCGGACGGGTTGGGGGCGGCCGGCGGCCAGCGATGGGCCGTCCCGGCAGGAGGCTGGTCCTGGGCCCCGGGAAGGGAGGCTGTGGCGGAGGCCCGCAGGGCGGGGGCCGCCGAGCCACCTCCTCGGGGACCCCAGGACGACACGGGGCCGCACCTGTGCACGTCCTGGCCCTTAGGAGCTCTCTGTGTGTCATTCCTCCCTGCAGCGGTTGCAGCGGGCGTTTCTCTTCAATACATTCATGGAATGTTTCTCTGAGTCTCGCGTCTGCTTCTCCACACACACAGTTCACCCTACTGCATGGCTCAACTGCAGCACCTCTGCAGGTCCATTTGTACTGTGTGGGCCCTCGGTGTGAAGCTTCACCTTTGGCCTGTCTCCCCAGAGAAAGGTCAGCAGAGAGCACTAGGTGTAGTTGAACAAAGCAAGGCTTTATTAGTGGCTCATGCATGAGGGAACCAGTGCCGGAAAGAGAAATTTAGCCTGTTTCCTCAACGGGAGTTAGCAAGAGAGATTTAAAAGGTAGGTCCACGAGCCGGAGGGAGTGGGTCGGGGAAAAGCTTGCTCAGGCTTGGGCTATGCCCTGGCATGTGCAGACAGGAACGTTCCAATTGTACATATGAGATCTTGGCCTTTTCCCTCTAGGAAATTGTGAGGCAATAATTAGTCAGAATCCAACACTTTTTGTCTAGCACATTGCCTCATAGCCAGTGGGGAGGCCCAAAATGTTTGGACAGCAGTTACCAGTGCGTGATTTAGTCCAGCTGCTCAAAGAGGAATCAGGACAACTCATCCCGCTGACGCGAAACTTCTTTGAGCTAGACCAACTCAAGCTGGCATGTCAGATGCTTTGAGGACTGTGTCATCATCCATACCTTGTGGTAGAGGGAGGTTTTGCCCCTTCAGAATGGCTAAAGGACACCTGTTGGGACACACTGAACGAGCACCCAGGCCCCACAACATTTCTGGGACAAGGGACTGTCCTCTCCACCTCATAACATTGGAGGGGCCTGGTCAATCCTTGCTGTACCAAACAGATCATCAGAAAGATGGGGGGGGCGGGGGGGGCAGCTGCCCTCAACTTGTGATGGGCTCACCCATCTCCTGTCTAGCACAGGAACCAAACCACCTCTCCTCAAGCTTGCCACACCAAACTCTAATGCTCACTTTGGGTACCAAGGCTCTGCCTCCCACAGTCCCCTTCCACAGCATAACCACCACTCAGTAAATTCCTTCTCTAGAGGAAATGGGCCTATGATAAGGTGAGGGCCTTGAGGAGCTGAGGCTCCCCTCCACCCCCACAGGCCTATCGGAACATTATGTGGGGACATGTGCGGTCACTCTCCTCAGGATGACTGCTGAGCTGTGTGTGTGGGTCCAGCAGGACCTGCTTTTCCTGCCCCTTTCAGGAAGAGCCCCATCCTGTGTAGTCAGTCCCCTGGCTCTGGCCATTTTGCAGCAGCTGCTCCCCGTACTCACCCTCAGCACAAGGGACCAGGTAGCAACGACCCCCAAGGGCTTCTCAGTCACACTGGATAGTCATTCCATAGCATCTTCATAGGAGTTCTTTCAGTTACCCCTCCTGGGGGTAACTGAAGAGCCCTGGGAGGTAAGCAGTAGCGTCCGGTGTGCTCCTGAGCTCTCGGAGACTAAGGGGCATGTCCACGGTCACACACTTTATTCAGGCAGAGCTGAAATCAGATCTAAACTGGTCCCTAGAGTCCACTGTGTGGTCCCGGGGACAGTTCTAGGTTGCTGTCTCTCCACTATTGTTTGCTTCACATCCTCTATCTGCTCACCACCCCTGTGAGGGTCTCCTCACGTTTACTAACTAGGGAGCTGGTTACTTCGAGTTGTAGGTTTCCTTCCACTTGGTCCTGTAGAAAATAGCAAAATGGTCTCCTCTAAAAGCAGTGATTCACCTTCCATGACATATGGAATGTCACCTTGTCAGGAGTGCCTGGGGTGTGTCTTTTATCACAAAATATCTAAGCATTTACTCAGAATCCATCTCATAAAATACTCAGTTGCTGACTTTCGTTCAAATCAGCTTTCTGTGACCCTAGAAAGATAAATGCCATAATGACGTGTGATCGGAGGCCTGCTCCTGGGCTCAGCTTTGCCCCTCTGAGGGCCCAACTATCTGCTCTGCTTATAGAGGCAGAGGGTGAGGCCCAGAGAAAGGTCGCAACCTGCCCAAGGCCGCACAGCGGATCATGGCAGTCATGGGGCGTCAAGGGGAGAGCCGAGAACAAAGCGCAGGGTGTCCACTAGGGTTTACTTGCCATTGTACAGTCTCTGGGCTTGGACAAGGGTCCAACGACATGTACCCATCACAGTGTGGTGCAGGGTAGTGTCACTGCCCTGCAACCCTGGGCGCTGGGCGGATTCATCCCTCCTGTCCCATGAAGCTCCCATCCCTGCCCAGTGCTGCTCCTTTTACTGTCTCCAAAGTTTTGCTATTTTTAGGACGTCATAGATTTGGAAACACACAGGAGGTAGCCTTTCCAGATTGACTTCTTTCATTTAGCAACAAGCTTTTATGTTTCTCCATGTCTTTTTGTGGTTTGATATTTGATGTTTAGCTCGCATAATTTTATTTTTTAAATGGAGGTGTGATGGGCATTTAAAATTATGCTAGTTTTCAGGTGTGTACAACACAAAGATTTGTTATTTGTCTACTTTGAGAAATGCCCACTACACTAAGTCTAGTTAACACTAACACCGTCAATGTTACTAAAATGTTTTCCTGTCATGAAAACTTTTAAGATCTCCTCTCTTAGCAACTTTAATACACAATACAGTGTTATTAACTATAGTCACTGTAGTCTTAGCGTGTTTTTTATCTGACACCAAAAGCAAAGTCAACAAAGTCAAAAATAAGCCAGAGTATAAGAGACTCAGAAGCTCCTACAAGAGCAAAGGAAACCATCAACAAAATGTACAGGCTGCCTGCTACATGGGAGAACATGTGTGCAAATCATGTACCTGAGAAGGGGCAGCCTGACACATAAGGAACTCATATGACTCAGTGGTATGAGTTAACATTAAAAAATGGGTAGAAGATATGAATGGACATTTTTCCAAAGAGAGATACACAGTTAACCAAGAGGTACATGAAAAGCTGTTGATCATTACTAATCATAACAGAAGTGTGATGGAGTTGGAATCACACGCTATGAGGTATCAAGAACCACGATGAGGTATGACCTCATACCTGTCAAAATGGTATGAACAAAAAGACATGAAATAAAAGTGCTTATGAGGATGCGGAGAAAAGGGAACCATGGAGATTCCTCACAAAATTTAAAAATAGAATTACCATGTGACCCAGAAATCCCACTTCTGGGCATTTAGAAGAAAATGAAAGCACCAGCTCAAAAAGATCTCTGCACCTCCACGTCACTGTGGCATTCGTGATAAGATAGCTCATCTTTTACAGTGCCAAATAATATTCCAATGTCTGAATATACCACCGTTTATTTAGCTGTTGGTCCACTGAAAGTCATCTAGGTTGCATATTTTTGGAACTTGTGAATGAAAATGTTTCGTGCATCCAGGTACAGGTTTTTGTATGGACATAAGTTGTCAGCTTCTTTGGATAGATACCATGGCACACAGCAACTGGATTGTACGGTAAGCATATGCCTAGTGTTGTGAGAAACACCAGTGTCTTCCAAAGTGGTTGCACCACACTGTAGTCCCCCCAGCAAGGATGAGAGTTGTTGTCGCCTCATAGCTCATGGGCGTGCAGCCTCTTGTACGTCCCCATGCAACCTTGAGTCTACGAAAAGTCTCCTTATTCCCATAAAGAAATGAACACAAAAGTTAAGCTCCACACTTCAGTGACAGCTCAGACTGAAATCAGTACCACGTAAAGAATACGAAAATAGCTTTTGTGAGCCACGTCCCTTAAAAGGAGCATCCGTTTCCTAACAAGGAACATGCACTGATACATCTAAAACTTCAGCCCCGAGGATGTGGGCCAAAGAAACATATGTGGCATGTCCTGGGTGACTGGACATGGTCAGGAATCCCGCAGGACAGCCCCTGACAGAAACAATATTTCCTGGCACAGGTCTGGAAATGCCAGACCCTGTTGGCTTCCAAGAGACTTCACTTTCAGTGCTTGCTTTGCTTGCTCATTTTGCAAAGTAAGTGCTGAACTTCTGTGAAGCAGCAGCAGAGCTGTCTTTATTCGCAGACATTTTGGTTTTTTTTAAAGAACATCAACATTTATTATTTAACACAATGAAAGAGAAATGAGATGTGACCATTTGCATTTAACCAACAGTAAGTTGGTTTAATGGTTTAATAGTTTAATGCCTGCACGTGCTCACTCATAGTGTACACACTGTGGCCAGAATGACGCTGTACAGACTAAGTGTTGAATGGGAAACCCCGTGTCTCGCTGTGTTCATCTATGCCAATGAAGCATAAGCCCAATGCCTCAAACATTTTTAATTGTTTCTAAGGAAACAATTGCGTTTCAGTTGAGAGTGTGGCAATCTGACAGGGACATAATAGCAGCAACAGGACACGCTGCAGTCAGAGTGATGAAATGGCACCTTGGGAATATATGTATGTAACTTTGGCAAATCAAGTGTGAAACGAAGCACTGCAGTAGCCAAAATGGGAAGAAAACAAAGAAAAACAAGCTTCATTGGAAATACCTGAATTTATGTCCTGAAAAGTGAAAAAGAAATACAGACCTGCCTTGGCCTCGGGAGCCCGGGAATCTGGGCATCAGCAAGGAACACAGCTGTGGACAGCACCTTCCAAGTCGCCCTCCCTTGGTGCTCTGAGGTCAGAGCAGCTGGCTGGACCAAACAACTGTGGAACATTTGCTCTGTGGAAAACCTCTCAGAGACAAGAATAGCTGCTGGAAGCAGAAAGTTTGCAGAGTTGTAGGGCGCAGGAAGGGAGACAGGGAAGCTCAGGTGCGCCCTTCATCATGATCCTGATGCTTCCATGGGTGCATGCGGCGATCGTGGGTTTTAGGCGAGTGGAGGCTTTGGCACGCATCATCAGGCCTGAGGAGAGTCACTTAGCCATTAGGGAGGCAGGCAGCTGGGAGAGAAACAGAAGGGCTGATGTGGGCGGACCACCACAAGGGTGGAAAGTGCTCGTGGTGGGCTGTCTGCGCTCAGGAGAAGGGGTGTGCAGGCTGCTGACTCGCAAGTGAGGCAGCGACACAGTGGCAAAGCCCAGGGGGCAGCGCTGGCTGAGGAAGGGGCGGCTCCTGTGTGTGCTCTGTTCCTTTTGCCTGAGCATGGCCTCCCTTCTCTTTGCTTGGCTAATGCCCTCACCCCTCCGGTGTCAGCGTCCTCGCCCTTTCGCCAGGGTACACCATCTGGCTCCCCTGACCTATTCATGTAGGTCCCTCTAATGCACCCACAAGCCTGGAGCAACGTGGTGCAGGAGATGGCGTTGAGGCCTGACTTTTAGGCTGGCCCTACACGTGGAGGACCAAAGCTCTTGAGCACCCCCTCCTCTTCTGTTTCTTTTTTTGTAAAAAAAAAGATTTATTTATTTATGCATACAAGAACTGGGGTACAGGCCAGAGGTGCGGGGGGGAGGGGTGGGGAACAGAACAGGCAGACTGACTGAAATGCACTGCTGAGGGGAGCAGCGGGCGGAGATATGAGAGGGCAGCTCCCTGGCGGGGGATGGAACTCGTGCTGCAGTGGCTGTGGACAGCTTCACAGTGCTGTGCTCTTCTATTCCTGTCCCACAGGGAAAGCTCCCAAGATCTCTGGGGACCAGAGAGGTAGGGTGCCAGTACTCTGCTGGAGGTGCCCCCCTCTCCCAACTCCCGGGACGGGCCCTGCCCGCACGGAGCCCGGGGCCCGCCAGGCAGGGCAGCAGGCGCGCCGAGGGCCCCTCCGGCTGCGAGGGTCGGGCTCGCAGCGCCCCGTCCCCGCCGCCCGCCCAGACGTGCCGCTGCACGCCCAGGGCCCAGAGGCCGCCGTGGGGGATGGGCGCGGCGTCGTATCTGTGATCGTCGCGCGCCACCTGCAGGCCGGCACCGGCACGGCCGCAGGACCAGGAGGCGCGGGATGCTCTTGGCGCCGGCTGCCATTTTGCTTGGAGGCGTCGCTTTTCCCGGCAAGCACCGCGACCCGTGCTCGGGCTGCAGGAAATGGCGGTGCGCGCAGGCGCACACACGCCGAACGCGCGCTAGCCTCCGAGTTCGGGAGCCCACGGTGCGCATGCGCAGACTCGCCGGGCTTCCGCTAGGTTGGGCGCGCGCAGGCGCACTTCTTTGCTCATCTGGGCGGCGGGGGAATTTCGCTCGGGTCCTGTTTCTTCTCATTTTGCAATCTCCCGTGGTCACACAGACGTCATGAAAGTTGTAACACAATAATTCCAGACACTGAATAGATGTGTTAACTGGGGCGCAACTAAAAGATCATAAATCCAGCAGTTTATGGAGAGTTCGGGGAAAGCCCTGGAGACTGCATAAGTGACTGACCACACCCACTAGAGTCCTCCTGATTGGCACCATCCTGCTTACTAAAGTCAGTTCCTTTATCTGGGTCTGATACAGGGCAGCAAGGGGCACTGCCCAATTAGTTTACTGGTCACTGAGTTCTTCACCTGCGTGTATGATTGCAAGACTACTCGGGTTCAGAGAAGAATAATAGGATTTATTTTAAAAACCAGGGAAAAGCAAAGTTACTGAGGTCAAAACAGCTGCTTACCTTACCTGACGCAGTGTCTAGTGTTTTAAAGTCCTAAACACAAAGGCTCCCAAGATAGCGTCTTCCCACCACTGTGGACCTGGTGCAAGTGGCAGCCAGATTATCCGCCGGGATCCAACACACAAAGACAACAGAAGACACAAGAGGAGGTGCTCCGAGGCGATGCTCCCCAGAGCTGCAGAGATGCCCCAGCACAGCACCCAACAAGGACACTAGCAGCAGCAGCAACAGCACCTGATTTAGTGCCCCTTGCTGCCCTGTATAAGACCCAGGCTTCACATCTTTCTTCGGATATGGGCTGCTGAACGCTTCTTCTTTCCTTTTTTTTTTTTTAAAGATTTATTTATGCATACAAGAACTGGGGTACAGGCCAGAGGTGTGGGGTGTGAGACGATTAACCAGAGGCAGAGTGGGGAACAAAACAGGCAGATTGACTGAAATACACTGCCGAGGGGAGCAGCGGGCGAGACAGGAGAGGTCTGTCGTGCCATGTGGGTAGCTCCCTCGCCCAGGATCGAGCTCATGCTGAAGTGGCTGTGGGTAGCTTTATAGGTTGTGTCTTAACCCCTTGTGCCACCAGGGAGGCCCCTGAATGCCTCTTCATTCTTTGGAGGTTGGTTACTAGCAAATGAGTTAATTTTTATGCCCTCCTGCCACCAGTCTCTATAACTGGCACCTGTAGTCTTGCACGCCTCCCATGATTATGGACACCTGGGCCCAGGGAGCATGGGCATGCACAGATGCAGGTGTGCACATCTGGGTCTGGAAGGGAGGGGCTAAAAGGGCAGCTTCGCTCCCACGCGTTTGCAAGACCATGAAAGGACGAGAGACTGAGAGGGAGAACTCCAGAGAGAGGCGAGAGAGCAGAGAGAGGATATTCGAGGGGGGCTGGGTGCCTGATGCCTAGTGTGCCTGTGTACCTGGTCCCCTTGTTCAGTATTAAAAGACCTGTAAAATCCACCGAGGGCTCCAAGATTCCTTTACCTGTCTGCCCGATAACGAACCTACCCAGCCTGGGATGGCTGCTCAACAGCTGCTGATCCTTCTTTTTTCTTCTGAGACCAGGAGCAGAATTCCCTAAACCAGGGCCTCCCCAGTGGCGCAGCGGTTGAGCGCTGGGTTGCGAAACTGCCCGCAGCCTCTGCAGCGCCGGTTCGATCCCCGGCTGCTCCCCGGCCACCGGAGGAGGGTCCCACATGGCGCGCAGACCTCTCCTGCCGCCTGCTGCTCCGCTCAGCAGTGTATTTCGTCCCTCCGTCCTGTTCCCTGCTCTGGCTCTGGTGAATTCTCTCACCCTCCCTCGTTTCTGACTGTGCCCAGTGCTTGTATAAATAAATAAAAATAAATAAAAAGCTTTAAAAAAATAATTCCCTAAACCAGGGGCTATGGGTTTGCTATGGTCTCCTCTGGCACAGGGCAACCTTACCTCTGCAGACCCCGGGGAGCTGCTCTCCTGAGGGTGAGCAGCAGAGGCACCATGGTCACCTGCCGTCACTGCCAGCCTCTGCCTGCTGCCTGAGCCCCAGGGAGGCCCTGGTGGCGGCAGCAACTGCCCTCTACTAGCTGCTGCCGCTGCTGGTTGTGCCGCGCGCCCGCAAGCATCTACTCTGGGACGTGGCACTGGAGCCCCAGTGTGCAGGTTGGTCCCCAGGAAAAGGGGAGCCCCTCTCCCTGTTCTATAACAGGAGGGGGTGGGCTCTGGCATGCAAACCAGGCTAGCACCTGGGCACCCGTCAAGCCTGGCCCACTGATGGCCCCGTGTCGCCATCCTGCAGCCTCCTGCTGCACAGTGGCCTGGCTGCTGCCAGATGCAGCACCTATGGGTAGCGAGCAGGGAACCCCCCCCCCCCCCACCGCTGCTGCTGGAGCTCCAGTGGCTCCAGCGCTCAGACCCAAGCTGCCCTGGGGAAGGGGTTGCTGCAGTCGGCAGAAAACAGTAGGTCTCACCTCGTAGATCGTGCCACCGGGATCTGGTTTCATGTTGATCCTGAACCCGTCACATGCCAACGCCTGCTCGAGGTCAGGAACCGGGCCACTGTTCCCCACCCAACCCACACCCCGAGCGTGAGGCCCCCAGGCACAGGCAGGGTCAGGGACATGCCCAATGCCCCACAGCCCCCTGGTGAAGGCGCAGCCATTCTAGGCCAGACCAGCCCCCACAGCCCGGGCCCTGGCAAAACGAACGCCCTCGCCCATTCCCCAGTGGCCAAGGAGACTGGCCGTCCGAGCTGGGCAGCAATGGAAGCTGGGAATTTGAACGTTCACCTCTGAAATGGGGTCCACGTCTGCCATCGGTGCCCACGAGCCCCTGGAGATGGCCCCCATGGCTGCCGAGCAGGAATCCTCTTCCCGGCCCCTCCCCAGTCGCCCGCAGCAGACACCATCCGGCCAAACATTCAATGAATTTATTGAAGAGAAACATTTAGTAGAACCAGTTACTGAACATTTATCAGAAACATTAGAAACTAGGGAGGAATGACACACAGAGAGCTTCTAAGGGCCGGGAAGTCCACAGGTGCGGCCCCGTGTCGTCCTGGGGTCCCCGAGGAGGTGGCTCGGCTGCCCCCACCCTGAGGCCGCCCCCAGCCCGTCCTGCCGCCATGCCGGGGCGGGACCGTGCCCTGGGCCCCCGCGGGACAGTCAGGGCGCGCTGGATAGCAATGACAAGAGGGCGGCGCGGCAGAGCACAGGCCCCTTCTGGGGCGGCGTGGGCCGGGAACTGCCGGGAAGCGCACACGCCCCTCCCCAAGGACAAGCCGCGGTCTTGATGGGGCCCCAGAGACACAGGTGGGCTTCCCTAACAGGGAGCAGTCTGCTCCGGAGGATGGAACATGGGGGTCCCTGCCTGCAGAGCCCCGGGCAGCTGCTCAGCGGTGCTCCCCAGCCAGTTGCTGGGGAAGCTTGGGGATGCCTGTGGCTTGGCGGCTGCTGCGTGTGCTGTGCCGGCCAGGCCCGGGCCCCCGCCTGCTCTCTCCAGGTGTCGTGCTCTGCGTGATCTGGCAGAACGAAACCCCCATCCTCCCTCCTCAGCCTCCTCCCCCTCCTCCAAAACAAGGTTCCCTGCTTACTCAGGCCGAGCCAGGGCCCTAGCCCAAGGGTCTTCCCCTCACATCAACGGTTGCTCCCCTTGCCCCCTAGCCTCTCCCAGCTCCCAAGGCCTTGGGGTCTCCTGCTCTTACTCGCGCAGGGGCTCGAGGGTGCTGCCTTCCTGGGGCTCCCCTAGAGCGGTATAGATGATCCTGAAGACAGGCTGAATCCTGCGGTCCCCCCTCCGGGGTGTGACCTCCCTGCCCTGCCACCCTTCCTGGCTGGTGCTGGCCCTTTCGGGCAGAGGCATCCCTAGAAAAGGACCCTCAGGGCCCCAGGCGGCCTCTGGGCCCAGCGGCATCCTTAGGTCAGATCCCACTGGGTGGGTTTCTAGGGGTGGCCAGAAGACTGGGCTCATGCCCAGGCCAGAGTTCCCAGCTGCACCCTCTGCCATGCTGGGGGCCCCGCCTGAGGCTTGGGCTCCCCATGTTGTAAAGGTGGTGGCTGCTCGCTTGCGGGGCCGGCCCCTCCTAGGAGCAGAGTGCTGGCCCCTCATTGAGACATGTAGGGCTTGGGGGATGGAGTCCCTTCCAGCTAGCGGGGGGCGTGGGGGCTCAACCAGCGGGGCCTGGTTTCCCTGCCCCACCTCTGCCCCCCCCCAGTCCCCTGCTGTCGGTGGGGACTGCGCCCTCTCCTCCTTAATCTCTCTCAGCAACCCACTGGGAGAAGGGGTTTCTGAGTGTTGTGAGCCTGTGCTTTCTAGGGCTCGGGGTGGCTCATGGCCCCAGCCCCCAACTCGTTTCCCGACTGCTCTACTGCAGGCTGAGGCATCTGCTTGGCCGGAGGTGGGCGCTCCGCCCCGGGGCACACCGCCTGACCCTGGTCCTCCTCCCCGCTGCTGTGGGAGCAGGACGGCTGCCTGCGCTTGAGCGACAGCCCCAACCCTCTCTGGATGGTCTGGGTGCTGCTGTCCTGGAACAGCCCCTCCTGCACGACCGCCTGCGGGGGCGGGCCGCTGCTCTCCGCCCCGGCCTGTCTGTCAGAGGCCCTGCGGGCCCTGCCCACCTGCCGCTGCTTCTCCCTCGTCACCGCCATGGTGGTCTCCCACTCCTCCTCATCACGAACGAGCTTCATTAACTCCAGGAAAGTGGGGGGACACTCTCTCTGATCCAGCAGCTCGAGCTTGCCCCTGAGCGTGGGGGTCGGGGCGGCACGAGCCAGCATGTGTTTCAGGCGGATGGTGTCGCTGCTGCGCACCGACAAGGGGCTGTTCTGCACAGCCTTTTGCAGCAGGGGCTCCAGCCGGAGCAGGAAAGCCGAATTTTTCTCTCCAGCCTTGGGGAAGGTCTGGAGAAACTTAAACTGCGAGGTTCTGCAGTCCTCCTTGCTCCCGAAGATCTGCTTGAGGGCGTCCAGGCACTGCTCTGTGGTGAGGGCCGCGTCGTTGGCCCGGAGCACGCGCATGATGGCCAGGGCCGGGCCGCGCAGGCTCTCCAGCAGACGCCGCCTCTTCTCGGCCTCAGACACTTGCCACAGCGCCATTATCTCGGTGACCTGCTCCAGCCACACCTCAAAGTTCTCGTCCTCTGACGCCGGCTCAGCATTTCCCGAAAACACTTTCAGTTTCCGGTACCACATGCTCTCCTTCAGCAGCGGCAGCGCCGGGGCCCCGAGCAGGCCCAAGCCCCAGGCTCTGCGCCCTCCCCCAGCGCGCCGAAGCCCAGGGTGATGGCCACGTCTGCCATCCTGCGGCCCTCATCTTTCAGGAAGTAGTTTAGCCTATTGATAAACTCGTCATCTGGGTTACGGGGCTTCACTACCACTTCCCAGGGGCCTCCCTTGCCCGGTATCTGATTGGGCATGGTCGCGTAATTGACCGTGTCGGCCAATTCTATGAAGACCGCCTTAGCGTTGTCTTCCCTCCTGAATATCCTGCCCAGCACCCTGTAGGTGCAAAGGGGGTGCAAGCCTGCCTTCACCGTCTCTTTGATTTCAGCCTCGCTACACTCCACCGGGACCCCCACAATCAGCAGGGCTTTCCTGGGGTCCAGGTCCATCCCTTTGCACCAATCCTCTAGTAGTAACACAGCCATAGCTCCCACTTTTCAGAATATGATCTAACACTGGGGGGGGGGGATCAGCTCAGAGTTTGAGCAGGACTCAAAGAATTCTGAGTCAATGCCAAGGACAAAGGCAGAAGCGCCCCGGGTTTCCACAGCCTGTAATGCAAATGGGGTGAGAGCATCATGAATGCCTGTCCCCCAACCCCACCAAGAGCCCCTCCTCTGTCCCCATCTCCCCCCCACCCCGGCCACGCTTCCCAACCTGACCCCATCCCTGCTGACCTTCTGTGGCAGGGCTTCCTTCTCAAAGTCCGAGGGCTCTACTGTGAGCTGCGAATGCCTGTGGGGGGTGGGTGGGGAAGGCCTGTGTCAGGTGCAAGGTCTGGCGTCTGGGGACACTGACAAAGTCCTCCAGGCCGGAGAAGAGGGGGCGGGTCCCACTCCCCAGCTCAGGGCCCGCAGGCCCAGGGCACTGGACGCGGCTTAGATGGAACAAAGATTGAAGGAAGGAGATGTGCGGTCCCTTTCCTCAGAAAATGCCTGACAGATAAGAAAGATGGCTGGAGCGCTGCGCAGTGCAAAGTGGGTGTGGAGAGCTTGTGACAAGCTGCAGTGTTGCCATGGATACCAAGAACAGCATGGACCATGGGTTTCTATAGCAGAGGGGTGTCATGTGGTAAGGTTAAGGCCCTCAAGGAGCAACAGGTGATGTCACTGCCCTCTAACCAATGAGGCTTCCTAGCAACAAAAAGGGGGGGGGGTGGGCAGCAAGGATCCAGTGCTGAAAACCCAGAGTTTGTATTTTCAAATTAAGTGGATGCTGGCATAAAGGACAGCAAAGGAATTCCCAAAGGATCTCCAGTGCCGCACTGCAGGGGACAGGCCACTCTGGTCTGGAGCTAAGAGTAACTACCGTGCAGTAGCCAGAAGAGTCTGTAAACTTTGGCAAGCAGCCCCTCACCTCCTGCTGTTTGCCAGGGCTAAAGGCCCCTCTTAAGATAGGCCCACCTCACTGCTGGTCACCACACAGAACAGAGTACCACTGGAACCCAACACCCTAGCTCTGTTCACAGTCAGGCAGGCCTGACCCTGGAGTGGCCCATACTGCATTACTGGATCTGTCCAGGGCAAGGCAGAGGTATTTTGCTATAGTTCCAGCCCTACTCCTGCTCAGGCTGTGCACAGGGGTCCACAAGTGCCCTGGTGCTAGGATCCAAGAAGGTGCTCAACTGGACCTCCCTGGGAGAGCAGAACAATTCATGAGTAAAACCTGAGAGTTCTCATGAAAAGAGAACTGTTTTTTGTTTTCGCTTTATTGTTTCCATCTGAGAAGATGGACATTACCTGGGCCCACCAGGGTCATCCTGTAAACCAAGGCATCACACCGTACGCGTTCAATGTACAGTATTGTGTGGACATTATTTCTCAATAAGATTGGAAAAATTATTTTAAAAGTTGAACCTCAATGAGAAATAATACAATTTCAAAAAGTTAAAAAATAAAAGAACGTGAAAAGAAAAGAAACCGCCCGTCAATGCCAAGCACAATCCTCAAGAAAGCTCACGCTCTGCTCCTAGCCACACCCTTTCCAGGCCCCGCCCCTACCCAGCCACCTGCTCTCAAAGCCCCACCCACTGCAAGCCCCGCCCCTGCCTCCCAAGGGCCCGCCCACACTCAGTCCCCGCCTTCCGAAACTGCACCTCACGCAGCCCCGCCTCCTCCTCACAAAGCCACGCCCACACCCAGTCCCCGCCTTCCGAAGGTCCACCTCAGGAAGCCCCGCCCCCTCCACCCAAAGCCCCGCCCATACCCAGTCCCCTCCTTGCGAAGCTCCACCTCACGTACGCCCCGCCCCTCAGTAAGCTGCAGCTCTACTGCATTTCTGCGTCCCTGCCCCTACCCAGCCCCGCCTCCACACCAGCTCAACCAACCCTGCCCCCACCCAAGCCCTACCCCTTCTCCAATCCCATCCCCCCACTCAAGCCTCATGGCCAGCCAGGCCCTGCCCCCACTGGAGTTGCCCTGCTCCCGCCCATGCCCAAGTCCTTGGTGTCTCCCAACGAGTTCCGCGGTGACGGTCACCCGCACACTAAGCACCCTCAGTCCCCCACCTGTGTGCACACCCTGTATCTCATACTCCCTATTAAGACGCAGAAATAAGTGGCCGAGGTCCGGAGAGGCAAGGCCGATGCCACGTTCTCTCTCTGAGAAGGCCCACAACCTCTGTCCTGACTCAGCATGGGTCCCCTGCAGTTCCCCGGTCAGTAAGGGGGCCAGTGGGGTGCCAGGCCCAAGCCAGTGGGGTCACACTGTAAGGCGAACCCTATAGCCGCCAGACCCTTGGACGCGAAGGTCACTGTGGGGATCCCCCGTGGTCAGGGATGTTGTGTGTGCCCCGGGCCCCATGCTGTACCTGCTGGAAAAGCTGCTAGGCCAGAACGCCAAGCTTCTCGACCACCAGACGTCTGTCGCCGCTGATGCCACGGTGCAGACTGGGCGGGAGCTGGGGCTCGAAGAGGCTGTCGGGAAGGGGTGGTTGCGGTTGAGGCCCCCCACGAAGCTGCACACGGCCTGTTCGCGGCTGCGCCCTGGATGCTTCGCGTGGCACTTCCCCCTCCCCCCACTCTCACAGACGAGCGTCTCCTCACCCCTCCTCCTGCCCAGCCCGCCACGTGCACCCGTTCCCAGCAGCCTGCGGGGCTGTGGTTGCACGTGTCAATCCCCCATTGGATGTGAGCTGTGGCGCGACACTTGTTCGCTTTCGTTTGAAAATCCCGCGTAGTCAGCACAGAGCCGTGCGCAAAATTCCCCCCACGGCTCCAACCCCCTCCCCAACCTGTATCTTGTATCAAAATGTGGCCCTCTGCAGGGACTGCAGCAGCTCTCCAGGGCATGGAACGTTGCGTTCACCAAGAGACACAAACCTACGCAAGGGATCCCCTTCTGCCATTATTTTAACTCCACGAGCCAGGATCACACACTGACCACCCAGACTGCCTCCCATCCTTTTCCAAAGCAGGTTTCTTCCCCGGAGGGTAGACCCCCGACGTATGGCGTGGGGTCCACCGATGCTTCAACCGGTTCGGGACCGTCCGTGGGTGGGACACGAGACGCAAACAAATCCGATAGCTCACCGTGAAACACGCACGTCTCGACCTACGTGTTTCCTCCCTCTGGGGTGGCAAGGGGTTAAGCGCCGCAATATGAAGCTGCCCGCAGCCTCTGCAGCACCAGTTCGATCCCCGGCCACCGCAGGAGGGTCCCCCATGGCGCGCAGACCTCTCCTGCCGCCCGCTGCTCCCCTCAGCAGTGTGCTTCGGTCCTTCTGCCTGCTCTGCTCCCCGCTCTGGCTCTGGTGAATTCTCTCACCCTCTGCACCTCTGGCCTACGCCCTAGTTCTTGTATGCATAAATGAATGAATCTTTGAAAAAAAAAAGAAGTCAAGCAGAGAACTCGGGGTACGTTACTCAGTGAGTACACACTGGCACGGTCCGCTAACTCAGGGGCCTTTCCATGCTATGAAAAGACAGTCGCCTGCTGCTGTCAGAGCTCGCTGCCGGGCCGGGCCGTCACACCCAAGGGCTCTTCTAACGTCAGCCGCTGTCCCGTGAAGTCACCGTCCAGCCACGGGAACCACCGGCCCCGCGCGCATCCCGGCGGCGACGCCCTGGCAGGTCGACGGCTGCTTCTGCTCACCCCTCGGACTCCGCAGCTCCGCGCGTCACCCTCAGCTTCCTCCTCTTTGCTTCCGTCTCACTTTGCCTGAGACCGGGACGACTGCTCTCACTGCTGCTCCTTCCTTTCAAACATGAAAGTTATTAAGGATACTGGCAAAGCTAGATGGAGCGTGAGTCCTGACCAGTCAACGTCAAGAAATAGTCCCTGAAGGGGCCTCCCTGGTGGCGCAAGGGGCTAAGACACAGCACTATAGCTATGGGCACCCATGCAGCGCAATTTCCATGCCCGGCCAGGGCGCTGACCCGCAGGACACAGCAGACCCCTCCCGTCTGCCCGCGGCTCCCCTCAGCAGTGGATTTCAGTGGCTCCTCCTGTTCTGCTCCCCGCTCTGTCTCTGGTGAATCCTCTCACGCCCCGCACCTCTGCCCTGCACTCCAGCTCTTGCATACATGCATAAATAAACCTTTAAGAAAAAAAATACCCCTGAAATCAGGTTACATTTTATTACTTTGACTTGCACAGCATAATGATGATTCCATCTTCCTGTGTGTTGTGCAAAGATCACCGCGCGGTCTCCTGAATGTCGGCCACCAGACACACCGCGAAATGCTTTCTTGTGATGAGAACTTTTAAGCTGGACTCAGCAGCTTGCAGTTCCCCACCAGTGCTCTCCAGCCTCGCTGATCCTCTCCTCCCGGGGCTTATGTGTGTGATATATTTCCTTTTGTAAGTACATACATGTATATAATATTTCCTACCAGTTTACAATACAAAATCCCTTCAAGCAGTTTCATTATTATCGACTTAAATATCATTACATGCTTTTATAAATTGAGCACTCTTAAAGTTCCCAGAAATAATGAAATTGAGCTTATTTTGACAAAACTGTATTTCACTATTCTGTCCATCTGTAGCATGTTAGCCTGAAAAGTAGCTTCCAAGACCTTTTGGTGAGCCTTCCTAATCTTGCATTTATACTAAATGAAGCATGCAAGTTATGCAGCATGTGTTTTTGTTAAGGAAGAAGAGGAATTTCATCCAAACATGAAATGATTCCGTTTCAGCTTGAGAGAGATAGAAAGGCAGGACTAGACCTCAATGGATATGGAAAGTTGCAGAAGCTCCACGGAAAAGGAATTTTATTTCTTGTGGTCAAAACTGCCTAAGGTTCAATGAGTTTATTATTGAGATTTCTTAAAATGACTTGCAATATCAAATAGTACACTGGTGCAAAACTAGAATTTGATTTTCTCTGTTAAAGTGAAACAAAAATTCTTAGGTTATTGGTGCAGTCTTAATAAATAGAAAACGGTTTTCCCTCACTTTTTGAAGTAAAGATTCTGTGTCTTATTGTTAATGTGAAGAGTGAGGTTTACCCCGGGACCCCCAAATGTGCATGCTCTAAATAGGTTCTGCCATCTGCCACGAGAAGACAGAAGCACTCTTACTGTGAAAGATCTTTACTAGGATTCGTATGCATGGAGAAGGAAGGATAATACTTTTCCGATAAAACACCGTAAGTAGCCCATCGCACGGTGGGTAAAGGCCCAGTCAAACAGGGTGGGCCCCGGGGGCGTGGCACTGAGCTCCCAAAGCTTGCCACAAATCTAAGGCACCTTCTGGTGGGGACCCAGAGGAAAGGGGTAGAAGGGGCAGGAGAGTCTGGGCCCGGGAATAAAATCATGGTACAAATCAAGGTAAAGGCTGCACTGTCAGCCTCCCCCTGGCCTGTCGCCCACGTCTCTTCCAAGTGTCTCTACATGTTTTCACTCCATGTGTCCCCTTCCGGGGTCCCCTTCCATGTCCCCCATCCAAAGCCACGAAGCAAGCAGGCTTCTCCACGTGTCTCGTTCCACAGGCCTCCTGAGAGTCTCCCCCAGGACTCTTCCTCCTTCTGTTTCAGCGCCTGCTTCCTGCTCAGCGCCACACTCCAGCAGTGGGGCAGGAGACGTGGACCCTGCCGGCGTTCCGGAGACTATACTCTCCAGAGTTATCAGAAATTCTTTTTGCTTAGTATTGATTTTATCAAGTCCTCAATTACTGAAGAGAACCAACTCTTTTCACTTTTGACAAAAACTATGTTACTACCTATATTTGTAAAAATATTTTGCCACTTTGATTTAAATAGTCAAACAGTATTTTTCACTGACCCATGATCTTACTTAACCAAGTAAATCTCTGGAGAACGTTGCTATCTTTTGCCTTCCTAAACTCAAATCCTAGGTGTCATAGTTTTTATCTCAGACCTTATTTTTCAGAGAGGCCCCTGGAAAGTCACAGAGGATCTTTCACCTTGTAAACACAGAGGTGCTGGAAATAATGAGGGTTATTTGACATATCAAGTTGCCTGGGAGGCTCTGTCAAAGCAGATGAGATGTTTAACCTTCCCTGGGTTGAATTCACGTGGGCAACATGTTAATAACACAAACAACACAGAAATTGTATGAAGTGCCCGGAGGTTTGTCACTATCCTGGGTGTCCATGGCATGTCCCGGTGCTGCCTTGCCTGACATTGTAAACATAATGTAAATTTTTCTGGACCCCTCCCCCCCCCACACACACACCATCTAGTCAGCAAACTAGCACAGCCATCTTTGCAGCTCCAGCTCGGGCAGGAACGTGCTGCCCGAGGTGTAAAGACGGCCTGCGAAGACAAAACGGCCTAACCCGGGACACCCCGCCTTTGCCTCTCTGTGGTCCCTAGAATGGAAGAGACTCAATCATGTTTTTCTTTCTCTAGCCTCGGCCTATCTTTACATCAGGGCACCTGAAAACTAGAAGCCCCTCTGACCGAGAGTGATACATCCTGCCTGTGGACGCCTCACTGTTTCTACCCGTATCAGCAGTTCACGCCGGCGTTTACCGGGCCAGCTGGCACTGGAGAGAGCTGCTGGACTGCTTCCAAGGTTTCAATCCTTACTGTGATTATCTAATAAAATCTTTTTCATGGAGACTTTATTTTCAGGTAACATATCAAACAGGTTTAGTATTAGTGAAACTGCAGTGATATTTTCTGGTTTCTGCTTGTCTTGCGAGAACAGCAGGGCAGCCTTCTGAGAGTGCCGCAGGCGAGGAAATATGGCTACCGACGTGAAATGAGGAACAAACCCATTTTTCATAGGTTGCAAGGTGTGTTTCAGAGTGCAGGCCCAGAGGGGTGTCCACTGGCCTTGGGCAACCTGTCATTGCCCCTCCTGGAAAACAGCCATAGAAGATGGACCCAAGACGCCCAGCTCATGGCTAGACTCAGACAACATTCCTCGGCGGGGCGGGCGCCCCTTTTCATCGCGGTTCTGGACCCAGCCGGGCGTCACTCCATCTCCACAGGGAGGCGCCGGCCGCTCCCATCTCGCATTTTAAAATCTTTTCTTCGCTCCCCAAATCAACACAAACCCTAACCCTCCCCCCTCTGTAGACAAGGAGGAAGATTTGGATATTTGTTATCTCCTGCCTCCTTGCTCGCTGACCTGCAATAAGCACCCCGGCTCCCAGCACCCTGCTTCGGTGCTGGGGTCTCTGTGGCCGCCAGACACAGCGACCTGAGTTTGTCGTTCAGTCACCGTTTGGCGAGTCCGCTGGGAATTCTGTGCCCAGGTTGGACTGGCACCGGCTTGGGCCAGCCCCGGTTTGGGTCAGACAGTGGGAATCCGCGGCTGCAGGGCGACATCCGCCCAGGGGACAGGCCTTGACTGTGTCCCCCACGGCGCTGGCGACCCTCGTGCCCGGAGCCTGGGACGGACAAACCCCGGACTCTGGCCGCCTTCAGTTTCACATCAGCGGCCGCGCAAGTGCCCTTCTCCCCGTTTGTTTTGGTCTCATAGGTCTCTGGGAGACATTTGTGAAGCTTGGAGGGACCGTTATTGGGGGAGTCAGAAAGAATTGTGGGACTCCCCCTTTTGTTTTGACCTTGGGCGTTTGGGTATTTGTGTGAGTTTTGTTCTCTGCAGATTCCTTCTGTCATGGCAAGTCTTAGTCAATCGCAGCTGGTTAGGCTGCTGCTTCTCGAGCTGGCAACCTCAGAGAGATTGCCCGTGGGGGAGCAGACACCCCACCGCCTAGTCTGAGTGACCACCTAGGCAGGTTTGTCCAGAGGCTTGACACCTGCGTTCCTGCCCGGCCCCAGTCCAGTGCTCCAGCCCCCTCCATGCCTTTTCACTTAAACGGTAATAATAATAATGAACCTACTTGTTTTGAAAAAAATGTTGCATGGCACGTCCTGACAGGGGACCCCCGAAGGCCTGCTGCTGTTGACTGGCCTCTCCTATGAGCAGGTTCACTGAACACAATGCCCGCGCAGAGACTAGACCCGGGGCTGGAGAATGAAAAAAAGCAGTTCGAATGTCCTTGGCCCCTGACAAGCTGAGAGGCTCCCGGGCGCAGACCCGGGGGTCCGAGCTCGCGGGACTAGTGAGAGGCAAAGTCTCAGAAAAAGAGGGAGATTTTAAAGCGCCACTACCCGGGACTTCTGATACTAGAGAAGCACACCCCGAAACGCCCAGGGGGCGTCGGCACTTGTCCTCTGCCCATGGAAGTCATAAATCAAATCTGGTTTTGAAAGATGAAAATGGGGGCGCGGGATGGACACCAGGCGCGGCCGTGAAGGACTGAAGAAAAAATAGATTGAAAACAGAGTCAGTCGTCCAGTTCCCGCTGCTCGAATCTCCCGGGATTGCTTCGACTGTCATTGGAGATGAGGGAACGTACAGGACACGAATTCAAAGCAAAAGAAACGGACGTGGGCAGCGGGCGAGGGGGCCCGGGGGAGCGGAGGGGGCCGCGGCGTGCTTTCTGGACGCGGACGGACTAGCCAGGCCTCGGCGTTCTTCGCTGAAAGAAGGGAAAGGATCGCGATTTCCGGGATTGTTTCGGAGTGAAGCAAGGACGGGACCAACAGCTGCCTGGACAGGGCAAGCCGGAGGCCGCGGCGACGGCACCCGTTTGCGAACTGAGGTTGAGGAAGCGGGACGTGCGCTCAGGAAAAGGGAGGCACCAAAAATAATGTTTTTGTTGAAGAAAAAATTGCCCTCAGGCTGAAACGGATCGTTTTTAAAATGGGGTAATATAAAAAAAAAAGGGAATGTCAGAAAACGTATAAAAGGTTTGTGGAAGAGAAACGCTTAAGGAAAGCTTCATACGTGCCCGCGCCGGGTAAGAGCCAACAAGACCGGAAGCTTTACTACTAAGGTGCTAAAGTAAAGCCAAATTTCAATCTTTTCATCTATCAAAAGTGCTAATTTACTTGACTGTAGAGGCCATAATGAAATGTTAAAGTGTTTATAAAGATGAAGCAAGCCGGGATTTTTTTGTTCAAATCTCAGTTTTTATTTATATATGTTTGACATCACGCTTCATTTTTTTTACCTTTGCTTTCTTTTCTCAGGGGTCGTCCCCGTCGAGTTCCCACCACCAGGTCCCCGTGCCCGTCGCCACAGTCCCCGGCGCTCTTCCCGCCCTCCCGCTCCTGCACAAGGTCTCTGACATATACAGTGGTCTGCTTATTTATTCTTCTTCTTCTTATTATTTCCCCCCGAATGCCTTAGTTGGTTCCCCCATATTCCTCCTGTAAGTGAAACCATCCTTCTGACTGATTTCACTAAGCTGGGAATTGTGAACGAAAACTGGTTGTCTTGTGAGCGCGGGTGCGGGGGGCCCGCTGGAAGTGTTCAACAGTGATCTGAGCTAATGCGAAACACTGCATTTTCCCCTTGCAAGAGCATATAACAGGACGAGAATTCCTAGTAGCAGCCATGGAGGCCAATGCATGGGAGGACAGCCGCTCCTGAAATGTCTGTGAGAAAATAAACCTACACATCTTATAAGAACAAATTGCTGGATGCATTTAAATCACCCGCGCCGTCTATGAAAACAAGTCTGCCTGAAATGATCCCCCTAAGCTTCCTTCCACCTCCAGGCTCTCGCTGGGCTGCCAAGTTGGGGTCACTTGGAGTGGACAGACCCGAGTTTAAGTGGGGGGCTGGGTGCCCCCAGCCACCGCTCCTCTCCTCCCCTCCTTGTGCCCCTCACCCCCGCCGGCACCAGCCTGGGGCTAAGCGTGGCTGGGCAGCAAAGGAGCAGGTGCCCAGGAGCCCTCCCGGCTTACGCCACCCTGGCCTTCCCTGTGGGGTAGAGCACTCGGTGCAGCGTCTACTTCCACGCGGGCCCTGGTCCCCGAGTTTGGATGGCAGCTGTTCCTCGGCTCTGCGGTCCCGAGCAGGCTTCGGCGAGCGCCAGCCTGTACCGCGCTCGCTGACTTTCAAGGGCTGGGCCTGCACGGGCAAAGGGTGGGTGGGGGCCTCAGGAATGCGGTCTCTGTGGCCAAGAGACTCCGAAAGCCTCCTTCATGCTCAGCCGCTCCCCAGCACCCGTACCCCACCCCCAGACCCAGCTGGGGCAGAGCTGGGGAGAGACAAGCACTTTCTGGAGGTCCCCGAGGGCGCCCCGCAGCACCTCGCTGCCCCTGGCAAGGTTCCTGACCGTGGGCATCCACAGCCGGCTGAGCTCCCGGCTTGCGGAGCCCCGCGGCATGGCAAGGAGGGAAGGGAAGCCGGGCCGGTGGGCCAGCAGCCCGGGCTCCCAGGCGGCACCAGCACGGCAGCCTGAGCCCCAAGAGGCTGCCCGCCCGCACTCCCCACCCCGAGTCAGAGCGTCTGCCCTGCGCCCAAAACTTCAGAAACCCAGAAAAGTGGGTCCAGGGGGCTGAGGGGGCCTTGGATGGCAGCCCCAGTGCGCTGGTCTGCTGTACCCCCGCAGCCGAGCCTACCTCCCGCCACACTCCAAGCCGCCGCCCCCCCGCTGGGATGGCTGAGTCGGGTCTGGTGCCCGCCCCGTTGCCCTTCTGGGTCTCGTGCCACTCAGCATCAGCCAAGGAGCCCCAGGAAGGCCGCGCGGGGGACCGTGTGCCTTTTCTCCGAAGCAGCAGCAGCTCTTCCTCCTTGCCCGGCTGTGCCCGGTGACCAAGACGGGGCAGGGGTTGGGGTGGGAAAATAGAGGGACACCAGTTCAATACCTAATGGCGCACAGGTCCCTGTAGTGCAGGGGATTCTGACGGGCAGGTCTTCGCTGCGGGGACGGACTTCTTGGTCACCCGTTGTTTTGTCCCCTGATGGGATGCAGACCGCGGTGAGCCAGCCCACAGAGCACATTTCTGGATCCAGAACTTGGCAGCGTGGATCACTTCTGCCTCACACTGAGTGCCACGATCCAACAGGACTCGGACAGCCTGGCCTACTGGCCTTGATGAGCACCATGAGACAGTGGTGCGTGCTGGCACACATCTGGAGTTGTGGGTCTGGGTGCGCATGGCGGGGGGCAACTATGAGGAGGGTGGTTGAGACAATTCAAAATTGCCGTCAAAGACGAGTTGGTAGTTGGGGTGTTTGGATGTGACTGAGAGTGAACCCGAGAAGCATCGTCATCTGTTTGAGGGGCTGGCCTATGGGGGAGGGGAGAGAGATTAGCAGTGGGTGATAGTTAAGGAGAACTGAGCATGCGTCGACTGAGCATGCCCTCTCTGAAACTAGGTGTGTCCACAACTGGAACAGGCTGGTGAGGGACCAAGGGCCTTGTCACTGTAAACATCCAGGACCGACTAGGTGGCATGTGTCTGTATGAAGGGGAGGCTGTAACCCAAAAGAATCCAATATTCATTCATAGGTGACGAGCCTGGAAGCCCAGCCTCTCGCGCATGCGTCCTTTACAGGTCGTGCTAATTTTTCCCTTTAGACTTAATATGTATCTGCTTTTGTAGAGAATAGCTTCAGGTTAAAGGAGAAAACAAACCATACTGCCAAATAGCCCAAGTTATCACAGTTACAAAAGGAAATCTTAACATCGACACGTGCACATGGGATATCTTGACATTTATTAGAGTTGTATACTTTCATGTGGCTAAACAAGTCATGGTTAAAATACTAGGCAATGAAGAAGAAGCAAAAGTATAATGCAACCACCACTCTTATGTCTGCAGAATTCTGTGCCCTTTAAAACTTGAAGGAGGCTGTTTTGGATCAAAATCGATGCTGAGCTTGCAATCTCTCTCAGTGTCTCGCACGGCTGCTCGAGAACTCCCTGAATGGCAGAGTAGGTGGTGCCGCCGGGAGGGAAGCCAGCGTGTCTTGGGCTTTCTCCCCCACACTCCATCAGCTGGGCCGGTGTGAGACTCCGATGGCAGCTCCCACCGTGGAGACTTTCCTTCCCATTCCTTCATCCACGCGCTCAGTGCCCTGTGCCTTGGTGCCCACCACCAGCCAAGCCACATGTGTGGGCTGGACTTGAGGAAGACCAGCTCACCTTCAGTGTCAGCACACGGCTGTGGTGCCACTTCCCCTCCAGAAAAAACCCTTTGCACATTTTGCACATATGTGGAACGCTGTTCTGGGATCCCAGCCAAGCGCTCAGGCTCAGAAACTGGAAAGGGACAGAAAGGTCCCAATGAAATCAAGAGAGGAGGCCTGGGGTTTGCATCAGAAAACCTCTCAGGGCTGTTCCTCCTCCTGAGGTGATGCTGGGCCCGAGAGCACAGGGGCTGGAACATGAGCAGCACCATCTGACAGCTCGGACTAGCCCAGGTGGCCATCGGCTTTCTGCCTTCCAAGGACCTGGGGCCCTAGTGGCTGCCACCAGCTTCGGAAGTGCCTGTGCTGGGATGGGCTAGTGCACTGGCCCTGGCCCTGTGGACAAGAAGCGCCCTTCTGGGAAGGCCTGAGTGAAACCTGTTTCAAGCCACAAGCAGTACAGGTCAGAGCAGTTTCATGAGGAGGGGAGAGGGACGGGGCGAAATGCCCCTTGTGGTAATTTATGGGATTTCATACCCTACCCTCCCTGGAAGAGCTTGCCTCAGGGGAGGCCTGAGGGGTTGGTACCACCTGGAAGGAATGGCTCACGTCTGCACACTGCTTCGCACGCGTCCGGTGCTAAGCCAGGGGTCGCTATCTCAGTCGCTGGTACTGGAGCACACATGGGCTGTGGAGAGACAGCAATGGCTCCCCAGAGACCCTGACCACCTCTCTGAGCCCGAGAGCCCTCATCTGTAAAGTGGGGACGAGAACACCCTCCACACAGGACCAATGTGAGGGTCAGCGCCGCCCGCCAGTGACAAGGCCCGGCGTGTGGTAAGGTCGCAAACATTAGCTGCTTCCCTCCTCCGTCCGGCTGGAGTCTGTCTACCCTAAAACCTGCTCGAGGGTATTTCCACATCAGGCTCAGGGATCGGGAATTGAGGGCAAACATATTAACCGGCTATCAAAATGCAGACACAGAGGACCCTTCGGTCAGTACCCACCTAAGAATCACGCGGCGAGAACTGAAGCCCACTTGCGTGAACTTTCCAGTACAGGCCGGCGCCAGCGACAGTGAAGGTGCTGCCAGCAGGTCAGAGACTGCTTTCTAAGCCAATCACAATCAGCTTATGACGTCGTGGAGAGTCTAACCATGCACGTGGGAAGTAGGTAAGCGACACGAGCTTCCGGCGGTGCTGAGCACCTAGCACCTACATCTACCCAGCAGGCATCGTCGACAGCTCCCCGCCTGGCCCCTCCAAAGCTACAGGTCTCCCCTCAAATCCCAAACATGCGCTCAGAGATCCAAAAAAGAAAGTGGGGTGTTCTCCCTTCTGATTCAGGGCACAATGAACCCCAAGTTCCTTCCCACGCCAAACACAGTATAGGCCACCTCAACTGATGGGGAAGTCTGCCCTCGAGCAGCCTGGCTGGAATTCTCGTTCAGTCCCCTTTACTCAGCCGCGACTCAGCTGGTGGCTGTGAAGTGCTTTCTAAGCTAGAAGAGCTACACGGGTAGCCGTCGCGAAGATGCGCTACTGGGCGTCAGCGAGTTCAACTTGACAAGGCAAAAGCATGAAGAAATCAGATGGGGAGGGAGGACATGAGGGAAGGAGAACCAGCAACCTGGGGAGCTGGGGCGGCCAAGCTTGTCTGGGAGTCCTCAGCGGCTTCCTGGCCAGGGGTTGCTAAAAGAAAAGAGAAAGCCCTGAGACTGGGAACAGCCACGGGCAGCCGGAGGCCGCGGGGCAGCGCCGCGCCAGGCAGCAGCAGCAACAGTGTCTTCCCGAGAGGAAGCGGAACAGGCATGTGTTGGAGAGCCCGGCTGCTCCCCATTCCCACTGCCTTCCAGGGGGATACTCCGCTCAGCGCTGCTGGCTGAGGGAGTGTGAGGGCGGAGCGTCCGCCAGGACCTGGAAAGGTGGTGTCCTAGGGACAGCGGGTCCCCCAGTGCTCGAACTGGCTTTTGCCCCCAAACCTGTCTGCTCTCAGTGTTGACCACGGGGCCCAGAGGCTGCCCTGGTAGCCCCTGCTGGTTGGACCAGCCCCTGAACCCCAGCTGGACGGCAGCAGCCCCCTTAGCCCGGCCTTCGCCCGCTGCTGGCCCAGCTGCATCTTGCTTCCCTCGACACCCCGGCTGCCGAGTCCCGACCCACTGCTAGCAACGGCAGAGACCCTGGCCCGCGTCCCTGAGTCCGGGTCTGGAGTCTTTTTCTCCAGGCCCTTTCCTGTCTAAGTGCTGCTGGGGAGGGAGAGACTGTGAGCCTGAAGCTTCACGTAGTCCTGGGTAGGGCGCTGATCCTCCTCACCCAGGTCCTCAAATCCCCACTGGCTTGGGGGAGCAAGGAGTTGGAGGCGCTGAATATTAAGGCTAAGACAGACAGTGTCCTGGATCCAGGCTCCGGGAGACACGAGGTCACAGGGCGTCCCCTTGCGTTTCCTGCTGCTCAGCCCCTGGGGCCGGTACCCACCTAGAAGAGCTTCTCATAGCACCTCCCGCAGTGGATGGTGTCGCGGTGGATGAAGATCTGGTCCAGGAGCTCACCCATCGGCTTGCTGCAGATCCCGCACTGAAAGAGAGGGCAGGTCAGAGGCCACGGCAAGGGAGGCGTGGGCGGGGCCCTGCAAGGCGCGTCCCAGACGTGGAAGCAGACAATAAAAAATGGCAGAAAACAGACAAAACGCCAACTAAGCCTCGGTCTTGCCAAGTCCACTGGCAAAATCTGCACCCACTACGAGCAAGGGCCTGCTTCACTCCTGCCTCCACACCTGCCTCCCGGGGCCCACCGGCCCGCACTTCTCTTGGGTCCACCCACCCGCGCCCTCTCCGGGGCAGCGCGGCACGTCCTCCCCTCTCCCCTCAAACGTCCAACAGTCTTCCTCCTCGCGCCACACAACTAGGCCTTTTAGTGGCCGAAAAACAGGGCAGCCCAGCTGGGCTGAGCCCCGCCCCGCCCAGGCCCGCCCCCTGCTCCTGAGGACCACACCTGCTTTTCCCCCTCAGACACGAGCGGCGGAGGGAGTTCCGCACCCGCGCACCGCACCGCCCAACCCGGGAGCCGCCTTGGTTGTTGCCCACATGCTCGGCCTTCGCCAGGCTGCCATGTGCGAACTGCCCACCTCTCTCCCGTGAAGTGCACCATGCACTGGCAGCCGCTCTTTCTCCCACGCCATCAGCTGGTCTCTGCCGATCACTCCCGTGGCTCCAAAGCCAGGGCTGCTGGCTCTGCACCCCACAAAGCCAAGACTCCCGTCTTCTGGACTGGCGCTGCCCACTCCCATGTGTCCCATTCCCTAGGGAGCCCCGTCAGTCAGGTTTCAATCCCCGTCACTCCACCAAGACTTCACCTACTGAGCGCTGCACCAGCCACCAAGTTGCAAAACACCCCGGCCATGTTCACGGTCACCATGCGCGAGTGCTCAACAGTCCCCGCTGGGTGGGCGCCGCACCCTTGGAGACGCCCCCCGCACCCTCAGCCTCCTCCACCCGCTCCCCAGCCCTTCCCATGCCCTCAGCGTGACAGAGTCTCGCCGCCTGCTCCTGGCCTGCTGAGCACATCCAGTCCGTGGCCAGGGGAATCATAGCCCTGAGGCTCCGGCCCCGGCCTTTCCTGGGAACGCAAACCCACACGTCCACGTGACTGTGCAGCCTCCCACAGGCCTCTCTGAGGCATCTTCGATTCTGTCCGTGTCCACCTTCCCTCTGGGACATATGCCCAGCGCTGCTCCCCGTCAGCCCCTCCCATCAGCGCCAACGGCATCACCATCCTTTCAGGGAGTGCCCTGGGCCTCAAGCCTTGGAATCTCCCTTGACCCTTGTCATTGCCTCACACCCCACAAACGCTCAGCTCTACTTTCAAGTACTGTCCGCAACCCAGCGGCCACAGCCAGCTCCCTACTCAAGCTCTCGCTTCTGTGAAGCCTCTAAGAACAAGTGTGACCACAGAGACCAGTTTCTCCAAACCTTGGAGCTCCCGAGCTCGGGACGAGGCCTGCAGCCGCACGCCCCCTCCTCACCTTAAAGCAATAGTCGTGGCAGCAGATGCCAAGGTGGTCTAGGGTGATCTTTGGGCCATCTCGGATCTCCCGGCTGCAGTAAGTACACAGCCCTGCAGTCGTTCTGAGAGACGGGAAACAAGAACCCGGCAGTCAGGCTGGGCGCAGACTGCTGACCAGGTCCGGCTAGGCCAAGCGCTTCGCCATCTTTTATTTGCTGTGTGCTTAACCAGACCGCCCACTGTAGTCCTTCCAGTCGTCTTGAGAGACCAGCCGGGCACCTTCACCTACTTGCTGCACTGTGTGGACGCCCTGGGGTGATGCTTACTCCAGACAGGGCTGGTCCTACTATAACACCGGCTCCCGCAGGGACCGTCTGGGCTCACCGCAGGCCCAGGAGAGCGTGCCCAGTCATTCCGAGCTGACAGCATCGTGGCAACAGGCCAAGGTGGAAAGTAACAGGCACCCGCAGGGGTTCCCGTCTCTTCATAGGTGAGAAGTCAGACAGCGGAGCAGAAACACGGGGCTCGGCCCTGGCCCTGCTGCTCATTCGCCATGTGACCTAAGCTGTGTTATTTCCTTCCTGCTTTCTTCACTGTGACCTGAGTTGTTCAATCTCAAAGGCCCCTCACCTCTCTCCCCCCTTCCAAGAATTCTAATCCTCAGGCCTCTGCAGCGGCACGAGCCCCTGGGCCATTGCACACCACTGTCCCCTCTGCAGTAGCCCTTGGTGCGCCCCTGGTCCTGGGCTCCACGGCTTCCTTGCAGAGGAGAGGGGTGACTCCCTAGTCAGTGAAGCGCTCCCCTACATGGTGCAGGAGGAGCGGATCAGTAAAGCAGCAGACAAGGCCCACTGAGCCGGGCCGTCTCCCTCAGCTCTTCCTCCTACGCGGCCCTGTGCGCTCCCTGGTCGGGCAGCAGACGTACCTCTCAGGGCACAGGGTACCACCGCAGGGCACCCTCTTCTCTGAGCCAAGGGAGTCCTCCATGCTGCTGACACTGCAGAAAGACGGGGGAGGTTAGGTGGCAGGCGCCAGCTCACACCACCATTGTGGGGGCGAGCACGGGCCACCAGCCCCGCACCACAAGCTGGGCCAGGCCGTGCACAGCCAGCCCGTTCGTCATGCCCAAGGGCTGCAGCGCTGAGCTTGCTACCGAGGAGGCACAGTTCTCACCGAGAGTCCGAGCAGGGAAAGAAGGCCCCCCCGCGGCGAGGGAGATGCAAGGCCCGGTGGCCAGGGCATGCCGAGGGGACCCTACTTCCTTGGCCCCAGGAAAGGAACTTCTGTTCCCAGAAGCACAGCTCTGGGAGGTCTCTTTGCGGTAATGGAAAAGTTCTGGAATTGGAGACTGGCGATGACTGCACAACTTTGCAACTGGACTATACGCTTAAAAGACTTCCGTGACGCGTGAATTCTATCACAGTGGCGGCGCTGACAGGGCTGCCCTGGGAGTCACCAGAGAGGAGAGTGACACCGGGAAAGGAAGAGTCCCTTGCTCAAAACGACCCCACCGGTGGGGACCAGGCTGGGCTGTGAAATGACCCCCGTGCGCAGCACCCCACAGCACCAGTGCAGGCCAGCGCAGAGCCCTCAGAGGTCCGACCCTGAAGGGAGGCTGCGAGCACCTCACCATGGCACTGGGATGAGTGCCACACAAGCATTCCCAAGGGTGCACTGTCTCGGTGTGGCTTAGCTTTTAACTGGGTGGCACAGAGGTCCCCTCCCTTCCACGTGGCATCAGGAAGCGCGCAAGGAGCCGACAGAAGCAGCGCTTGTGTCGGGACTCCAGCGTGGAGGCTGAAGAAAGGAGCCCTGAGTTCTGCAACAGGATGGAACTGACTAGATGGTCCCCAAGAGCCCCACCAGCTCTGTGAAGAGCGATGCTTGCTTTCAGGATTGAAAAAAGCAAGCTCGGGCCTCCCCGGTGGCGCAGCGGTTGAGCGCTGGGTTGCGAAGCTGCCCGTGGCCTCTGCAGTGCCGGTTCGATCCCCGGCTGCTCCCCGGCCACCGGAGGAGGGTCCCACATGGCGCGCAGACCTCTCCTGCCGCCCGCTGCTCCCCTCAGCAGTGTCCTTCGGTCCTTCTGCCTGCTCTGCTCCCCGCTCTGGCTCTGGTGAATTCTCTCACCCTCCCGCGCTTCTGACTGTACCCAGTGCATGTACAAACAAAACAAACAAACAAACAAATAAATAAAACATGCCTCTATAAAAAACAAAAAAAAACAAAAAAAAACAAAACAAAAAAAAAAAGAAAGAAAAAAGCAAGCTCGTCATCTACCCAGAAACAAAGACTAGCAGCAGGGATGACGCTAGAAGTGGGGTGTAGGAATTACCTATACAGGGGGCTTGAAGGCACCGACTTAGGTAGGAAGCTGTAAGGGCATCAATCACCATCCTTCAATTCAAGGAGCGATGCCCTAGGAGCTACTCCGGGCCGAGTCCCGCAGCGCAGGGATGAAGATGACACAGGGCTGGGTGGGAGGGGGCCAGGAAGAGGAAGGAGCTGGGCTTTGCTCTTACCTGCTGTAGCATGAAAACGGCGGCTTCCCAGAAGACACCTCGCTGGCATTGGTGTATTCCTTCACGAAGAGAACGCCCTTGCTGGAGAAGCACAGCGGAACAGAGAGAGAGAGAGTGGCAAGTTTGAGGGCCCTGGCCCAAAGGAGCGGTCCTGGGTTCAGTGTCCAGGAATGGGAGGGCCCTCTCCTGGTGAAAAGGATGTGAAGGCGCTCGTGGGGAGGCCTGGGGGCACAGGAGCCGGCGTGCACGTGCGCTCAGGCTGACAGCGAAGTCTGCACGTGCACTTCAGAGCCCGGGAAAGCAGCTCCCTGCGGCCAATGGCAACATGGCATCCTCCTTCATGCAGGCCCCGACACTCAGCAAGGCACCCTCATATTTCAGCACAGTGGGCTTGCCATCACCCTGTTTGTTCTCTGTCCCGTCCACCTGGGGCCAGGAGGGCCTCCAAACCTCAATCCTGTGCTGTGAGTGCCCCCAGCTCTGTGTCTTTCCTGGGCACACTCAGCTACTGCAAAATTCCCATCTTGTGGGAATCAAGGCGTGCCCTGCGCTGGCCTGCCACGCCCTGGACTAGGCTCCCTCTCCAGCCTGTACCCTCTAGCCTGCTGGCGTGATGTCAGCAGAGAGGCCTCCTATCCCCCGTCTCAGCCTCCCTGCAATGGTGCCACTTTCTGCCTAAAAGCCTAGGCAACAGGCAAGGGCCAGCCCCGGGCCTGCCTTTAAATGTGCCCTGCAGGCAGTGCCGCCCGCCAGGCCCTGTGCACACTCACTGCCCGCATGTACCCCACAGCTTGGCCAGCTGCCACAGGGACAAGAGGCACAAGGGGACCTTCTAAACCCACCAGCAGGAGTCAATGCTGCGGGGACTAGGCTGCACTACGCGACCCCATGGCCAATGGGCTGCTGGGGGCTGGGGAAGGCACCGGAGCTAGAGTCGGCGAAGAGACAGGAGATGAAAGGCAAGTCCCTAGCCCATGCCAAGCACCCCACACGGCCCCTTCTCACCTGGCAGAGCTGCAGTCCAGCTCCCTTGGGGAGGCCGGGGCGGACACCTGAGGCTGCTCAGCAGTGGCGGTGACAGTCACAGTGACCATACAGCTCGAGGGTCTCCCCCTGGAAGAAGCAGGGGTGGGGGAAGCGTCAGCATCGACAGCTGGCATCTTCCAGGGGCAAGTAGGGTTTTGGGGTCTGCTCCTGAGACCACCACTTCAAGGGGTTAAAAGCATGCCGATGTTCTCAAAACAATTCTTGTGAATCACTGAGCTTTTGTTCCTGAAGTCTCCTCGCTGATTTGGGGGGGGGGGTGTAGCCGCTCATGTCACAGCGTCTGCTGACCCAGTCACACTCCCTGTAACTTCCCAGGGTGTCTGTGATTCACCTGGTTAGGGAGAGCCATGGGGCCACCTGGGACTTGACAGACACTGTCCCTTGCTAGGACCAGGAGCCTGTCCCCCAGCCTGCAGAGAATTTTCTGGAGAACACAAGGCCAAGGCAGAGAAGGACACATGGAGTTCAGCACTGCCAAGGCAGCATCTGATGCCCCTCACTCTGGAGGAGCATTGCCACGAGCAGAGGCAGGACGGTGCCGGGTACAATGGCTTCTCTGAGCCTCCACCCTTTGTGCAATGCAGCCCTCGGCCTGGAACCCCCCTCTGGGCCCACTCGCCAAGTCTCTCTTTGGCCAAGCCCTGACTTGCTGTCAGTGTGCCCGCTGCCAAGTTGCCAGTCCCACACCAATGAGCAGCCACCCCAACTTGTGCCATCCACCTTGGTCCAGGTCTACGTGCATCTGCTGCGGGCTATTTGGCCTCTGTCCTGGTGCTGCTGCTTCTGCCTGACCCACACTCCCGGGTCCTGAACTGCTTTACGAGAGGGAAGGAGGTGGACAACCAGGGCCCATCACCTGGCCAGCATGGCCTCATCTTCCGAAAGGGTGTCCCACGCGCATGCAGCTCCAGCACACTGGCTGACCTCTCGTGCCGCCACCTTCTCCTCCAGGAAGCCCTCCAGAGGACCTTCCCTGCCACCCCACATCAATGCCCCCAGTCACCCTGGGATGTGCCATGAAGCCTGGAAGAGGTGGACTGGCTGGGAGGGAAAGCCCCACAGGAGTCTAGAAAGACAGACAGACGATGAAACACAGAGCCAGAGAGACGCCAAGATGCCTGACTCCAAGAGGAAGGAACAGCAGCCTCCTGCAACTGAGCACCCGGCAAGAGTTTCGGCGTCTCTGCCCCACACCGGGCGTGATGGTGGAGGGGAGGGCAGAGCTGAGGGGAGACCCCGCCACGACAGCACTCACAGCCAGCCCAAGGGGCCGTGGGGGACCCCTCTCTTCTGTAGCCTCCCCAGCCTCCTGGCCCCGGCCTGCCCACCTGGTGTCCTGTCCCCTCAGCCCCACTTCCTACTCTCCAACCACAGGCACCTTCTTCCAGTCCCTTCTCCCACACGCTGTCTCCCCTCACGGCCTCCGGGCGTGCCCACCTCTGCCTAGTCCAGCTCCTCCTCGTGCTGCGGGTCTAGAACCGCAACCCTGAGCGCGGAGAGCCCCGTCGTCCCGGCTAGCACGCGCTGCCGGGGCCGCTCTCCACAGAGCCCCCTTCTCTCCTGGGCGAGAGACAGCCCCGCAGTGGAAGGGGAGGCCGCTGGGCTCCGGCCATCTGGGCTCTGGCGCTGTCACACCCCTGCTCTGCCTCAGGTTCTCCGCCGAAGGGCAGAAATAATAACAGGGCCTCCTCACAGGGCTGCTGTGAGAAGTAAGCGGGGACACAGGCCTCGGACGGGCCTGTCGGCACACCTCAGAGGCCAAGAGCTAGGCTGCCGTGCTGTCACTCGAAGACGTGAAAGGCACAGCCAAGGCCAGGAGACTGGGAGTGGGCCAAGGGAGCGAGCTAGCACTCAGAGATACAGAGGAGCCAGAGGTCAGAGGCAGCGGTAGGCCACCATCAGTGAGGGGACAGGAAGAAGCACAAAGCACCGAAAGGAGGGAACGCGGGCAACAGGCAGAGCTCCACGGGGCTGGCGAGCGCGGACGTGCTCTGCCGGGCAACCGGCGTCCCGGGGCCAAGGCCGCAGCGAGGTCGGAGGCGGCGATGGCGTCTGTGCGGCGGGAGCGGGGCGGCGGTGTCAAAGCTGACACTGTCCCTGCTTCCTCTCGTGGACCTGCCATCACGCTGAAGCGTCCCGAGCTCCCACGGCTTCTACACAACAACTCCAGCTGTCTACGGCTCTTCGGAACGAGAGTGGGCAGGATGGCTCAGGACGGCCCACGCCACTTACGGACTCTTGTAAAAACACGTATTTTTAACGTTCAGAATCGTTCCAAGTGTGCAGAAAACCCTACGAGTCACCCAGATTTCCAAGATGGAAAGTGCCACAGCCACTGCAACCAGCGTGGCGTGGACAGGCGCTGCCCCAAGCAGGCGGCAGGCAAGTCAACTGTCGAGTTGGGGAGCTGCTCCCAGGAAGCATGGCCATGGTGGAGGGGGCGTCTCTAACCCACCACCCTGCTCGGCCTGGGTCTGGGGCCTCCCAGCTTGAGAAAATTCACGGCCTGTTTGCTTAGGGAACGGCCGCCCGTCCTGGGAGCGTGCAGCCCGGGTCCCGGTGCACAGCAGGGCTGTTGCCCCAAGGCTACCACCAAGGGCGTCCTGGCGGTGTGGACAGTGGAAGGGTTGATGCGACCAGTACCCTCTGCCTCCAGCGGTGCGTGCCCTCCCCACCAGGGCCACCTTCCTCAGAGACTTCCAGTGCCGAGACGGGTGGGGTGCCCACATGCCCCCAATGAGGCCTCACGCTCCAGCTGCCCGTCAGACAGCAGAGTCCACTGCCCCTTCTGGGGAGTGTGCTGGGGCTGAGAGCTGGGGCCTGAGGGAGCCCCCCTGGTGAAGGTGTGCCCGTCCTGCTCACTAACATCCCGCGGAGGGCACTGGGCTTGCCTGCTGGCCTGGGGCTCCCCTGAGTCGTAGCACTGGCCCTTGCCTAAAGCGCACTGAAGCAGCGAAAGCCCAGCCCAGCGGTCCTTACCTGCCGGCCCAGTTGTCCAGCTGCACGAGTGGCTCAGGGCCCCCAGGGCCATGCTGCCTCTCCCTCTCAGGGGCGCTGGGGTCCTCAGGCTGCTGGGTGGGCGCTGCCGGGCATCCCAGGCTGCCTCTCGGGGCTGCGGGCCTCTCCTGCCAGGTCTCTTGCACCTCAGGGTCCGTGTTCTCCTCAGAAGCAGACAAGGCGCTGCAGGGGAAGGAGCACGCTCGTGGGCGAGGCTGCGGGAGTGGGCCCTGCTCACCTGTGCATGGCACCTCCTTGGGGGCAGCCCGCCTCCCCTTGGGGGACTGCAGCACGCTGCCCCCCTCCCACCCACCTTTCCCAAGCACAGCCGATGATCACCAGGCTCCGGTGTTCCAGCAGGGTGGGCCGGCCAGCTCCCCGGCGCAACCACCTGAGCCTTCCCTGCAGCCATGTGTGCAGCCCCTGCACCAGGGCCCTGGCACTCTGCCGGGAAGCTTCACAGTCCCGAGGACATCGCTGGAGTCACAGCCTCCGGGACACCCGTGGCCCCCGTTCACTGGTACCACGGAGGCAGCGGGTACTCCGGGAAGCCCATGGGCCGTCCCGTGACTCCCAGCCCAGCCGCCAGCGCCTTTCCCGGCCGAGAGAGGGACGCCGCTACAGCCCTGGCGTCCGCGCCGCCCCCCGTCCGTGTGACACAGGCTTCCGTGACGCTTCGCCCAAGGGCTGGTCTTTTTAGAGCGGTCAGTGCCTCTCCCTGATGTGCCCTTCCTTGGAGAAAACCAGCTGGTGGCCGGAGTGCCTGAGCAGCGCGGGCGGCGAGGCCCGCAGGCAGGGAGAGCGGGAGGGGCGGCTCTCCCGTCCCGGTCCTCCAGCGCCAGCACCCCTTTCCGCAAGTCCTCCCCCCACCCCCCACCCTCCCACCCTCTCTGTGCCGCCACCCCGTGACAAGCCTGCCGGCCCGAGAGCCCATCGCACCTTGCCCAGACCCCAGGGGCGCGCCCCTGTGAGCAGGCAGAGCTGCCGGGCTCAGCTGCTCTGGGAAGGGGCTTCTCCCCAGGCCAGCCCGGGCGAGATGGTAGCCACGGAGGGGGCACAGGCCACAGCGCGTGCCAGACGGCGGCGGGCCGCGCGCAAGAGGGGGTGGGGCAGGGGACGGGGACGCAGGGCCAAGCCCGCTCATTTGTGATCCTCGCCCGCCACCTAGCGGCACGTGCGGGTAACGCCGCGGAGCGAGCCCGGCCGACGCGCTTCTGACCCAGGGTGGCCATTTTGTCAACTGACGGCGACCCCGTATTTCCCAGAGGGCACTGCGGAGCTCAGGCTGCAGGAAATGGCGGCACGCGGCGCATGCGCGCGCGCACACCCGCCGCACACTGGCCAAGGTGCCTGCGACTCCGACGCCACACCTGCAGGCGTACCCATTGATGTGTCCGTATTTTTGCTCTAGCACCTCCTTCTAGTCCTTATTATGAAGTAGTCACAGTCCTAATTAGGAGGCAGCAGCACTTTCACCCCTTTCTTACACATGAAAAAGCTGGGCTGAGGGTTTGCTTGCCTCTCTTAAATGGTGGGATGGACCGCCCATCCCCTCCCCGAGGTCAGTCTGCTCACGTGGCTAACCTGGACGCTCCCCCTCACTGCGTCTGGAGAGGGCGGTGGGGGGTGGGGGAAGCAGAAGCTAGGGCTCATCAACTAAAGGTCCCCTTTAGTACAGAAGGCCTTGCACTACCGCCCCTAGGCCACTTCTCCTTCCTCTTCCAACAGGCACACTTCTTAGAAGAGCTGTCTGTGTTCACTCTTTTCATGTCCAGCCCTTCTTCCCCGTAAGGTCCAGGCGGGGGCAGAGATGGGGTAGAGGAGTGGGAAGTTGAAACTGCTGCCACCTGCATCCCGGGAGCCTGCTCTGCCCGGTTTGCATGGGCCCTGATAAGCAGCGTTGAAAGAACAACCACTTCTGAGAGAAAAAAACTTCTTTGAAAATCAACTTCGACTCTGCATTCTCCACCTCCCTCCAAGGCCAGACCCTGCCCTATAAAAGTTGCCCTTGTCTCCCAACAGGTGCAACTTCTCTGTCCCCCGCAGGGGTCAGCGAACCTCACCTGTGAGCGCAATAAATTTCTTGCCTGTGAGAAACTTAGTCTGGCTTTCCTTTCCTTTACCGCGCCAACCCTTTCATTCCCCACCTACTCTTTATGGAAACTACCCTTGCTTTCCAATTTCCCGAACTACCTGTGCTGAAGGAGCTCCTTCAGCCCACGTGTCTAGGTCCAACGTGTGGTTCCTTAGACCCCTGCCCCCCACTGGGGTCTGCAGGCTCTCAGTGACCAAAAAAAAACCACCATCAGAGACTGCTGGCACTAGAAGAGGATTTCAAATTTTCTCATTTGCTGGAAACAGAATTCTGTTACAAAGTGGGCTCTCGCCCCCCACACCTCTGGCCTACACCCAGGTTATTTTACCCAAAAAAAGTATATAAAAAAACATGTATCTGTGGGGAAATGAAGAGCCAGCTCTCATATAAAACCAGCTGAGGGCCTCCCCGGTGGCGCAGTGGTTGAGCGCCGCGTTGCGAAGCTGCCCGCAGCCTCTGCAGCTCCGGTTCAATCCCCGGCTGCTCCCCGGCCACCGGAGGAGGGTCCCACATGGCGCGCAGACCTCTCCTGCCGCCCGCTGCTCCCCTCAGCAGTGTCCTTCGGTCCTTCTGTAACAGGGTGGTCCCCAGGAAAGGGGGAGGTTCCAGGTTCCCTGCCCCACCCAAGGAAGGGTGGAGCTGAGCAGGAAGAGGAGAAGCTGGAGAAGAGACTAAGGAAGGAAGCAGGATGGAGCAAGGAGACCTGGAGGAGGCACATGGAGCCTAGAGACACATGAAGAAACTGCGCTTGTCTTTTGGTCATGGACTAGGTGACACAGATGTGGGTGAGACCCGTGGGGAGGTGACAATGGCAGCTTTTATCTTGATGTTGATTTTGCTCTTTTCCTTCCGGGCTTGTCCAGTTGTTTGTGACCCTTTTCTGTGGGTCCCCACTGGTTTGTGTGGAGTTCTTCCAGAAAGTCGAAACAGAGCTAAACCAAGAAGAGGAGAACCTGTTTGCCTTGTTTGTAGGGTTCCAGAGACCTCCAAAGAAGGTGAGGAAGCTTGCCTCCATTGGCAGGACTGGACAACCCGGCCAACGAAAATGCCCTGGTACCCTCGAGAAGAGGAAAGCCCAGGTGGAGTCTGATGAGACCAACTTTATACCTGAAGCCTGCATCGACCAGATGCCAACGGTTCGCTCTGATCCTGTATGGAATATTTCAACAAAGCCAGCTAAAATTGCTGTTAGTTATTTCTACTCTGTGATTTTATGCAAAAATAGAAAAATGGTTTAAAAGTAGATCTAGTTTGCAAACTTTTGCTTTGCTGTTAAAAGTTTGGGATCAAGGTTGAGAAAATTTGTGGTTTTTTACATCAGTTGAACCATTTTAACATTTTTTCCCTGTGATTTTGATATATTTGCTATCTTGTTTTAGCCAATGCTCCAAATTTTTTCTTTTGGCTTGGATAATGGACTATTTTTAAGTAATGAAACTGTCATACTGGACATTCATGGACAATGCTGCTGACTAATTGTTGCTTCTCTTACACACATTGTGACCCTGAAAAAAGACTGTCTCCTAAGATTACACCATGACATCTGTGCCACCATAGATATGGTGGAATAAAAATTAAAAGGGGGGATTGTAACAGGGTGGTCCCCAGGAAAGGGGGAGGTTCCAGGTTCCCTGCCCCACCCAAGGAAGGGTGGAGCTGAGCAGGAAGAGGAGAAGCTGCAGAAGAGACTGAGGAAGGAAGCAGGATGGAGCCAGGAGACCTGGAGGAGGCACATGGAGCCTAGAGACACATGAAGAAACTGCGCTTGTCTTTTGGTCGTGGACGGGGTGACACAGATGTGGGTGAGACCCGTGGGGAGGTGACAATGGCAGCTTTTATCTTGATGTTGATTTTGCTCTTTTCCTTCCGGGCTTGTCCAGTTGTTTGTGACCCTTTTCTGTGGGTCCCCACTGGAAGATGTTTTAGACTTGTGGTAGACTTTGGGGCCTTGTTCTGGGCTGATCCCATATGGATGGACTTTTACCCACGAGGGGATGGGTCACTTTGGGTGCTTCATTTAGAAACTAGACTCTTTGCCTTACCTGTATTGTTTCCTAGTTTTATTAAAGTTCCTTCCCATTAGTCTCATGTGTTTTGTGTTGATGCGGCGGATGGCAGAACCCATGTAGAATAGGCAGGTTTGCGGGGTTTTGGGCTGCCCCTCTCCCTGTCCTATAACACTTCTGCCTGCTCTGCTCCCCGTTCTGGCTCTGGTGAATTCTCTCACCCTCCCACATTCTGACTGTACCCAGTGCTTGTGTAAATAAACAAACAAATAAATAAATAAATCTTTAAAAAAAAAAAAAAAAAAAAAGCTGAAACCGGAGCCCTGCAGCACATGCCTCAGGGCATGGCTGGCTTTCTGCAGCCCATGGCCTGGCCAGTGGCCTGGAAGTTGAGTGGCAGTGGCAGTTTCCTGCCCCACTGCTCCAGTGGCCAGTCCTATCTCCACTTCAGTCACACTCTGCTTCAACAGCAACAGTGTTGGCATGAGCTCGGAGTTCCTGCCCTGCCATCAGTGTTGCTGCCTGTGGGCAACCCGGCCCCCCGCCCACACAGATGCCAGCCAGGTTTGAGCACACCCAGCACCCAGGCGATCCTGCAGCTGCAGGACAGCTACTTGTAGGCCCACCACAGTGGGCCAGGCTTGATGGCCCTCCCAGAGCGAGCCCAGTTTGAGCACCAGAGCCACACTGACACAGCGCCCCAGAAGGTGCTTGTGGGCAGTGCAAGTGGCAGTGGCTGGCAGACATTTTACTATCTGCCACCGGTGGCCCCACTGGGGCTCAGGCTGCAGGCAGAGGCCAGCAGTGATGGTGGGCAGCAGTGGTCTTCCTACTACCCTGCCCCGGGGCATGCAGCTCCGATGGGCTGCAGTGGCAAGGTTGCCCTGTGCCACAGCAAGCTCTGGCAGAGGAGGGAACAGCAAGCCCCACAGCCCCTGGTTCAGGGCTGCAGGGAGCAGCGTGGGGCCCTCCTGGGCCGGCAGTGGGCAGCACAGTGGCCCATGGAGTCCTGGGCTAACATGGTAGGCCCCCAGTTGCCGCAGCACCACCCTCCCTCTGCTCTTTTGGTACACCTGGCCCTGCTGAAGGGTACCTGGCGCAGAGCATCTGGCCCCACTGAGGCCGGCTCTGGGTGTGGCTCCTCGGAGTCCACCAGCCCCTGTGCTTGCCTGAGGTCAGGGCAGGTTCAGTCTGTGCAAGAACCAAGTTTTCCTCTTTCTATTTGGCTCCTGATCACAGAATGGGCCAACCAGGTACAAGCTAAACGAACCAATCATGTTCAATCAGCTCATTAATTATCCAGATCTAAAATCAAGAATGGGCTAACTAGCTAACTAAAATGGGCTAACTAAAATGTTCCAATTGGTCACTTAGAATTGAAAATGGTCTAATCAGGCAGGGAGGGTAGGGGACCCTAGAAGAGGATATAAGGCAAGAGCCAGCTTAGGGCACTCTGTTCCTGGCCTCTAAGAAGAAAGAAGAAGCATCCATCGGTTGACCTCCAAAGAAAGACGCTAAATACCTTTGCAGAGACCAGGCCCCTCCCCATGCCTCCCATCCTGTATCCAACATCGCCTGAAAGGAGTACCAAGGGCCACAGGCGTGGTGTCTCAGGCGTGCTGTTGGTGTGGGCCAGCAACTCACAAAACAGTTAACGGTAGTTTGTCTGACACTGCCTCCTGGGTACTGGTGGTGACCGGCACTACTGGCCAGTGCTGTCCAGCACTCTGTGTCCCAGTCACCTCTGAGAGCTGTCCACCACTTCTGATCATTCAGCACCGCTTCCAGTTGCTGCTGCCTCCATCGCTGCCAGCTCAGCACCTGGCACTGTCCAGCCTGACCTTCAGATTGTAGCTGTGGCTGCTGCAGTGTTGCCTCAGTGGCCTCACCTGTGAGCACTGCCAGCTGCCACCACAAGTTGGACCCTGGCCCACTGCTTGCTGGTGTGCCATGAGCTCCAGGCCCTCACTGATGGGACAGCGCCATCTTGAACAAGCAGCCTTTTGTTTGGGACTCCTGGCCACAGTGGACACTATCTGGGGTGAGCTTGCCAGCCACTGGTAGCCTTAGAAACCCTTTGTTCCCTGTCTGTTAACCCCATTCCCGTTGCTCCCTGAGCCTGAGCAATCTTGCAACTGCGTGTGCAGGTGAGAACCCAGAGACAGTGACCAGGCACTAGGCGGAAGAATGGAGGGCCTGCCAGGGTGTCGCTGCCCACCCCCAAAATAGCACCGCGTGCCGGGAGACCCACCTCCCGTGCCCATCACTCGCACGCCCCCCTCGCTTGGAACTTCCCTCCGCCTCTCCCCGTCTTGCTCTCATTTGCTTTTGCTCTGTCCCCGCCAACACCTCTTTGTGCACAGCAAGCCCTGCCCCCCTGCCCAGGCCCCCAGGCTGCCTTCCCGATCCAGAGCCAGACTTGGGCGGCCCTCCCAGGAAGCCCCCCGACACTGCTCCCTGCTCAGGGGTCACTGCGCTGACCACACTCGAGGGCAGGCACCTGAGCCCTCAGGTATGTCACGTACTGAGCACTGGTTGGATGTGGGTTGGAAGCGGCCCACCTGGGTTGTGGCCTGACACCCCCGCCCCACCCCGCCGGAGCAGGGAGAGCCCAGCCCAGCGGCCCTTACCTGCCAGCCCAGTTGTCCAGCTGCACGAGTGGCTCAGGGCCCCCAGGGCCTTGCTGTCTCTCCCTCTCAGGGGCGCTGGGGTCCTCAGGCTGCTGGGTGGGCGCTGCCGGGCATCCCAGGCTGCCTCTCGGGGCTGCGGGCCTCTCCTGCCAGGTCTCTTGCACCTCAAGATCCGCGTTCTCTTCAGAAGCAGACAAGGCGCTGCAGGGGAAGGAGCACGCTCGTGGGCGAGGCCATGGGAGTGGGCCCTGCTCACCTGTGTCCAGCTCCAGCATGCCCAGTGGCTGCTGACCCCGAGTGGGGCCGAGGGGACCCTGCCTGGGCCTGCCTGGGGGCCAGTCTGCCTCCCCTTGGGGGACCTGGCACCTGCCCCATTGACACCCACAGAGACAGTGCTCTGGTGGCCTGGCTAAGCTGAGCCACCAACGCGCCTGCCAGTCTCGAATCCCCCTGGGGAGCAGCTTCCTGCCTCCGTGGGCCCCAAGCCATTTGGGAGTCTTCCTCACCTTGTGGCTTCATGTCACACCTCCCATCACGGCCATGTCCCTGAGATGCCCCTGAGGGTTGTTCTCAGCCCTGGTGCCTCCTCCAGAGCCTCCGGCCTGCGTGTTGGTGATGCTGCCTGGCAGCCTCAGGCACCAGAGATGTCAAGGCCGCCACGCCAGGGGCAACGGCTGAGCTGAGCTTCCGAGAGCACAAGCTCAGCATTGCAGGAGAGGACAACCTCAGCAGGGAACCTTTGAGCCGGGCTTGACCCAAACACCCTGCAACAGAAGCCATTTGCCCCCCTTGGCAGGCGCTGGCCCGAAATCAGATCGTGCCCCCGGCCGCTCCAGCCTGGACTCTGCTTACATAAGTAGGCCCCTAGCAGGGCACACCCTGCCTTCAATCTGGAATAAAAAGGGACGCAGTGGCCCTGAAAGCAATGTGATGATGAGGTCTCCCAGGGACTGGGAGTGCCCCCACAGGGGCAAGCACATCACCCCCTGTGTGTACCTTCTATCCCATAGGTCTGCTGCCACCGCCAGACACCATAACTGCTATGCTGAGAGGATGACACTCTCCGGCTAGCAGGACACCCCGACAGCCCCCCTTGAGCCGGCCTGGTACACACAACTTTGAGCCAAAGGCAAACCCAGAGCGTGTGTGCCTATGGGAGCCTGAGCCAGCATGGACGTCGTACCCCGTTCTTCAAAGAACCACAATAATCAATAGTTTCTCGCCCAGTTTGGATAAAGCCCAGATTCTCTGCAAAGAGCACTTTGAGGGTCTGAAACAAATGGTTGAATAAGGGTTTGTGGCCCTAGACCCAGGGCAGCGAGGCTACCGGTAGAGGTGTTATTCCTGAACCCCTGAGAAGGGAGGCTCAGTGAAACAGCTGCAGGAGGCCTGCTGGGGGGATCGAACACCCGGTGGGGTCGCGGGGCCCCACAGAGGCGCCTGGAGAACAGGCGAGGCGACACTTCCGGCTGTGCCTAGATAGAAAACCCACAAGCTCCGTAGAGGCGGGGCCAACGCAGGGCACTAACACACCGTCGACTTGGAAGAGAAGGCCCCCCTCGGCTGTGCCGCATCTCCGATGCCCGACCGGGGCTGACAGCTGAACAAATGAGCTTACATTTCAGCAGTTTTTCATGCGGAAAGAACATAAACCTGAAAGGCCCAGACTTAAAGCACAACAGAGGACAAGGGCGCGTGTGGACGTGATGACCGGCAGCAGCGCTGCGGCGGGCTGGGGAGCTACTTGCGTCCTATTAGAGACACTGGGCAGGGAGGCTGGCGAGGGGCCCCGGGAGGGGCGGCAGTCAGGAACCGGCTATATGCTTTACACGCACAAGCCCACGTGGCTCTCACGAGCACCCCAGGGTGGCAACGATCACCGCCGCCATCTCCATGGGGCGGAAACCAGGCCCAGGGGGGATGCCAGTGATGGAATCTACATGTTAACACAGCCGGAAGTGTCGCCAGGCCAGGCGCCCAAGCTCCGACCCTGCACCCCCTGCCTGTGTTGCACAGTGGGGCAGGGAGGCCAGGACCGACTTGCCAATTTGGGCCAGTGTCACTGCTCTGCTGGAGGTCCCCCCTCTCCCAACTCCCGGGACGGGCCCTGCCCGCACGGAGCCCGGGGCCCGCCAGGCAGGCCAGCAGGCGCGCCGAGGGCCCCTCCGGCTGCGAGGGTCGGGCTCGCAGCGCCCAGTCCCCGCCGCCCGCCCAGACGTGCCGCTGCACGCCCAGGGCCCAAAGGCCGCCGTGGGGGATGGGCGCGGCGTCGCATCTGTGATCCTCGCGCGCCACCTGCAGGCCGGCGCCGGCACGGCCGCAGGACCAGGAGGCGCGGGAGGCTCTTGGCCCCGACTGCCATTTTGCTTGGAGGCGTCGCTTTTCCCGGCAAGCACCGCGACCCGTGCTCGGGCTGCAGGAAATGGCGGTGCGCGCAGGCGCACACACGCCGAACGCGCGCTAGTCTCGAAGTGCGGGAGCCCGCTTTGCGCATGCGGAGACTCGAAGGGCTCCCGCTCAGCTGAGCGCACGCGCGCGCGCAGGCGCACTTGTTTGCGCCCGCCCACATATCTGGGCGGCGAGGTCTTTCTTCCCATTCTGCAATCTCTTGGCTTCATACAGACGTTATGAAAGTTCTACAATAGGGCTTGTCAAGGCCGGCATTATCGTAACAGTTTGGACTGGATAACTGTGCACTATACGATATTGTGCAGCACTCTCCCTCTCCCCCCCGCCATTACACCACTAGATGCCAATAGCACCGCCTCCCACTTGTGACAATCAGCAGTGTCGGGGAACATTGGCAAGGCACCTCTGAGAGGCGGGGGAGATGCTCTTGGTTTGGACCCACTGCCCTGGAGGAGTGATTCTCGGCCTAGACTGGATATGAAAATAAGCTGAGAACTTTAAAAAACTTTGATGGTGGAGGTCCACCCAGAACAATTAAATGTAGGTTTCCAGGTGGGGTTCAGCAACCTGTTTTCTTTAACACTTACTGTGTGATCCTCAAGTGCAGGCAGAGCTCTGAAACACTGACCAATAAAGTCTGGTGTTCTTGTAAACTTTTAAACATTGAGAAAGGAAATCTGACCCCAGGTGCTAGAGCTGGCAAAATCTGGGCTCCTTTGCTACCTCTGCTTCACACAGGGGTGTCAGCCAATTGTCTTCACCGTCAAACAGCATATGAAGCCAGATCCTCCCCAGGTTTGGGGAATAGTGGATAAGATGGTATAGACAGTGCTTCACACGTTAACCAACTAATTGCTGTTTCTGGGTCTTGAGGTTATTCTTAGAGCTTTCTGCCTTGGGCCTCAGTTATGGCACTTGTAAGACCTTGGACAAATCACTTAACTTTAGTTTCCCATCATGGATTTCACAGGGAAGATTGTTGGAAAGATTGTAGGGAAGATTGTAAAGCACTTAGCCAAGCACACTATGGATGTCTCTTACTGCTTTGTTAATTCAATGAAATTTGAAACAAAGTCACAAAATAGGGTCACATAAGTTAGTGAGTCATTGTCCACCCTGCCCTCCAACAGCTTAGTTTAAGTGGGATGACAAATGTAAAAAAGTAACTGCAGTGTGGTGTGAAAGTACAAAACTGAACCCACTTTTTAAATACCTAAATCAGACCTCCTCTTTACCTTAAAATGTGAAGTAAGATCCAACCTCTTTATCATGGCTTAACAAGGCCTGTTCCAGCTCTTCACCAGCTAGACTCCAGCCACAATGTGCTTTGGAATATGCTAAGTGCTATTGTGATCATTCACAATTTCTGCTATGATAGGCCAGTCAGCACCTTCCTACTTAGACAAGGCTCCTGTTCCAGCATTCCCTGAGCACCAGCCCTGCACAGATCTTTATTATGCCTAGAAAACATCAGGTGCTTTGGGCTCCTGTGTATATTCCGTTCCTTTTGCTTGGAGAACTCCTATTTACCTTTCAAAATTTGGCTCAAAAGTCACCTCCCCCATGAAGCCCTCCTGCCCACCCCCACTCCCGTGCTCTAGCCTGATGTATTATTCCAGTCTGGACCAGGGTTGCTCCCCATCAGCTTCGTCTGATCTGTCTGTGTGCTCCAGCTTCCAGTACAGGACAGGTGCCATCAGAGTAGTCAGTGACTGATAGAGTGGGTGACTCATTATGGAGTACTTCCTTGCTGGAGGTAACAAGGTGTAGTGGAAAGCTCTGGGGCCCCGGAGTCTCAGCTGAGGCTTCAGCCTCACTACATGCTCAGGCCAGCTCATGGGTCCTGCTGGCTTCACCTTCCAGCCAAAGGCTAATGTACCCTGGGCCACCTCTCTCTACTCCAGAAGCTCAGCACCGCCGGCTGATGCCTTACCCCTTCTGATCTGCCTTCACTTCCTCCAGGTCTGCTAGGCTGTCGCTCTTCCTGTCAGTCAGGATGGCAGAGGCCAAGGTGGCACCAGAGCTAAGGGAAGAAGCACACAGGCCTACTGAGGCCTCAGACCGAAGGAGCCCAGTGGCCCAGCTGCTTTCTCACAGAGAAGAGGGGGCACCATCGATGAAGGCTGCTCTCTGACCCACCATTTATGTGGTAGCATCCTGCGAACCCCGCTGTGGTCTTCCCAAGCACTGCCCTTGTTGAGTTGCAGCCCCTGGGGAACTTTCCTCTGGGTTTTGGGTTCCTGTGCCCTTGCCTGACCTCTGCCCCCCAAGGTTCTGTGGGAGTCCAGAGAGATCATTCCTCCCTAATGTTGCACCCACACCCAGTAAAATGGCCATGCCCACTGGTGGGCTGCAGAGAAAGAGCGGAAGCCTGAAGCCCCTCCCATCACACCTTTGAGGCCCTCGAGTCACTGCCCCCTCTGCTGTGGTCCGGCGGGCTGTGGTCCCCAGAGGAGGGAGTCCAGGGACCTGGTAACAGGCTCTCCTCCCACACTCAGTCTCCAATACCCTCCCCTCTGCCACCTCAGTGGGCCCCTGGGAGTTGGTGCTGGGCTATCTGGGCCCCCTCCCCTCCACTGCCTCTGGTGGGAGGCTCTAGCTCCAGGTCAGGGACCTCCCAGCCTTCCCTGTTCAGTTGTGATCGCCTGATGTGACAGTGACATGGAGCTGAGATGCTCAAGAGGGATCCTGGGGTGCAGGACTTGAAGGTGAAACACAAAGGTTCACTGGGCAGTTGTCCCCGCTCCACTTACCTGGCGACCTCTGGTCCAGGCTTGCAGGGCTGAGAGTCGGCACCGTGCATGGCCTCATCATCCGGGAGAGGGACGGGGCCCTCCGCTAAGCACAGCCTGTGGGAAGAAGTCAAGCCCAGGTGGGTTCAGGACCTCGGGCCTGCATGTCCGCCCCCTCCCCCCCGGAGAGGGGGCTGCACCCGACAGATGCAGGGGCTTCGTGAGGCACTGCTCGCGTGGCTACTCAGCGCACAGCAGCCTGGCGCCCAGGGCAGTGTGGCCCAGGCGCTGAGCACCCCTGCGGGCACACAGCCGCATCCAATCACAGCGTCGCCACCGCCCAGCTGCACACCTGGTGGACCTGGGGAAGCAGGGGTCCTCCTTGGGACTCCCCCGGACAGACTGCTGGAGGGCGGCGGGGCTGGCGGCAGGGGCTGGCAGGGGGGGTTGGCAGCAGGCCTGCGGCTGGCTGCATGCACCAGCTTTGCTGCTCCTCTCTGGCTATCTGCTTTCATTCCCTAGAATGCCCCCCATTTAATGTGGAAGCACTTGGGGACAGGTAGGACCTCAGCACTCCCAAAATCACCTGAGAAAGTGGCCCGCCTTGCCCGTCTCCCCAAGTCCACCAGTCATCCTGCCAGGTGCTCTGCCGGGACCCACGCATCTGTTGCTCCCAGACTCCCCCAAGCATCTGTTGCTCCCTGACTCCCCCAAGCTGCCAGCATGGGCAGGACAGCGAAGCTGGGCCAAGGGCTGGGGTGGGAGTGGCCCCGCCTGGCCTGCCTTCTGTCCTCTTCTGCAGCTGGCCGCGTGAGGGATCTGGGCAGGGCCCTCGAGGCCTCGGGCGTGCCTCCCTTCATTCTTGCAATAGTCGTTATTCATCGGAGACCCGCACTACCCACGGGACACATGGGGCAGGGCAGTCCTGGTCCCAGCTCCACCACTGACCTGGGGACCTGGCAGGATCTGTGTCCTGCAGTGAGTTACCTTGCAGAGTCTGGGCCCATGACCTTGAAGGCCTCCTCGCCAGCCGAGTCTCTCATGGGCTCTCTGGGACTGGAAACTTCCTGGTCTTTGGGGCCCGGGGGAGACCTATGAAGGAATGAGATACCCACTAACCCACAGCCACCTGCATGCCAGGGTCCGACCCTCAGGCTGCAGGAACTGTCAGTGATGACATGCTGAGCAGCTGCCAGCCCTGCAATATCAGGCGTTGAGCTCCTTGGAGGCAGCCGGCATTTGGGGCTGCAGTAACTGCCCCCACGGGCATGCAGGTGGGACTTGGACCAACTGCCCACATCAACCCCAGAAATTGGGCACTGCTGGCCCTGCCCACCTGCCAGAGGAGTAAAGCGACACACAGAGCACCCGAGTGACCTGCCCGGCCGCGAGGCGCAGGACCACCCCTGCCTACTCCGATCTCGCTGTTCGCTGTGGGGTCATCAGGTAGCGCCATGGGGTCCCGCCCAGGGGAGCCATTTCCATCATTAGAGCAAATGTAATGGGGTGGGAGTCTACCCAGAGGGGAGAGCCCCCCCCCACAGATGTCTCAAAGTGCTTTTGCCTGCAGCAAAGCCTCTTCATGCTCCCTCACGGCTGAAGCGCTGTGGCCAGCGAACTTTAGTCAAGTCTGTATTTTTTTTTTTTTGCCCTAACCCACTCCTTAGCCAACAAGATGTAACTTCTTTGTTGTCAATGCTGGTCCCCCAAAGCTATAGAACCTCATTCCCTTTCTTAATCAGCGAGGCAGGTTTGAGTCTTCCTCCTACCTCCTAGCCCATCAATTTGCAGTAAAGCTGATTTTTCTTCTCAAAAACCCGCTGTTATTATCTGACTCGTCAGGGAGAACCCCATGCCCAGTGATGCCATCACAGTGCAGTGACTTATGAGCAAAAGGTGCAGGGGGGGAGGCAGGCCGGCTGGCAGGGAGTCCTGGATCTGTGACCTTGAGCGAGGCCCTTACCCATGGGCACGTGTGGCCGCAAGCACAGTCTGTATGGGGACACCTGCTGGGCCGTCGGGGCGGGCAGGCCAGGGCTTGGTGAATTGGAGCTTCCCCGCCTCTCCTCCCCAACTGGCTTCTCCCGCTGGAAGGTGGGAGGGCATGCTCTCAGGGTCGCAGTGGCAGAGGCCTTATGGGCTCCGGAGGCAGAGGACACGGTGGGGACCTTCTTCAGATCACCCACGTTTCTCAGAGACTGGTCACCTTCACGGAACCAATGAAGCAGCTTCCAATGTTGCCTCATGAAAGACAGTGTCACACTGGATGATTCTCAATCATGCCAAGAAATGCTCCTGCACAGCACAGTTGTGGGCCAGGCCTCGGGGCCCAAAGGGAGTGTAGGAAACACTTGACCACAGCCCCGGCCCCCCAGGTGCTCAGAATATGTGGGGAGGAGCAATCTCAGAGTGGACAACTGTGACCTCTGTGCAAGATCCTCTGGTGGAGCTGAGCGGGGAAGCCTCTAGATGCTGCCTTAGACAGAGGGAGGCAGGAGCCCTGGTGCGGAGATTTTCACGGTGGACTGAAAAATGCGAAGGGAAAGGGTAGCCCAGCAGAGGCTGCAGCCTGCGGCGGCCGCGGAGGCCCAGGAGTGGAGCTACAGGGGAGGAGCCAGGGGCAGAGCCTGGCCAGGCAAGGCAGCAAATTCAGAGACTCAACAAGGAACCCCACTGCAGGGCTTCCCCTGTGTGTGTGTGTGTGGGGGGGGGGGGCTGACATGACTACTTTTGCCTTTTTAAAAAGTCGCTGGGCAGAGACGTGGGGGAGGGAGGACACAGGTGCAGCCCACACCTGGGGGAGGGCAGAAGGGGCAGGACCCTCGAAAAATACGGTGAACAGGACTCACCACCCACTTGGAGGTAGAGAGGGAGGAGCCCAGGAGAGTTAAGGGACCTAGCAATCCCTCAGGACTCATGTTCACCACCACTTCCTCCGGGAAGCCTTCCCTAACCACGCCCACCATCGTGGGGAGAGGCGCTGCTGGGAGCTTCCGCTGCCCTGAGATGACCTCACAGGCTGAGCTTCATGAGGGTGAGCCCCAGGCTGGGCACCTCACTGCTGCCTTAGCCCTGACACAGGGGGCAGGGAAGCAGGCGTTCAGCAGCGGCCTTCCCTGCGCACATCTCGCCTTGCCTGTGCCGCAGTTTCCCTTGGGCCCAGCTCACAGCGCCCCTAATCTTCCCTGTTCCTGGTTGTCTGCTACCCACTCCTGGTCAGGAGCCGGGCCTGCCGAGCCCCCTGCCGGCGGTGGCCCTATCCCTCCCTCTCCCTCCTCCGCAGGGGGCACGGGGTCATCCTGAGCTGTGGAGGTGGGTCCCGAGGCCCCGGCCCTGGCGGCCCCTCACACGGGCAGGGAAGGGGCACGCAGCGCACCCAGGGCCCCCACCCGGCACGGCTGGCCGGTCCGCCTCAGGGCTCAGACGGGCTGGGCCCACACAGCTCCTGTGCGCGCCACGGCCTCCCCAGCCAGGCAGACGGTCAGCTACTCTGGCCAGGGGGCGGTCCCCACTGGGTCCCCAGGGCCCTCCTGGCCTCCCACAGACCAAGGGTTGCCCCCTAAGAGGCACTGAATGACAGGTGACATGGGAGCAGAGAGCCCATGCACACCACGTCCCTTACACAGCAGCCCCGGCATCCTGGCCCGCAGCCCCCACCCCCAGCATGGCGTGGGAGGAGCCCGGAAGGTGGCAGCGCCCCATACCTCATTGCCCCCGGGTCTGGGGCCAGCAGGCGGAGCCCCGCCCCAGGCGTCACGATCTGCAGGCGGACAATCTCCTCACCTCTTGTGCTGTCGCCAAAGGAGAGAGCCAGAGCAGCTGATGAGAGAAGCGTCCCCCTCCCCAGTCTCTTCAGGACACTGGACCTGCACCCAGCGCCTTTCTTTTGCTCTTGTCTCCTCTTTGGCCTGGAGCTGAGGCCCGGGAGAGGGAGCACCAGAGGCCTTCCCCAGTCTCCCGCCCAGAGCCCCGTTGGCTTTGGCCACAGCCGGAGGCCTTCTGAGTGGAAGTGGCCAGTGCCCAGCCCCGGCGCCCCTGCCTGTAGCTGCTGCTGCGCTGCTGGTGACCCCTTGAGGGGCTCAGCCAGCCCATGGCCCCAATGGCGCGCCAAAGTGGCTATTGTCAGCCAGTGGGCATGGGCTCAACGTGCCCAGGAAACTGACAGCCCAGGTTGGGCCTAAGAGCTGGTGGGATGGGGGCGTCGGGGACTCAGCGGAGGAAGGCGGGTGACCAGGTGCCCAGGGCCAGAGCCCCTCGAGGAGCAGACCCTGTCCGCACTCAAGGGCCCTCTGAGAGCTCCATGCTCAGAGCCCCATGTCTCCAGAGGCCACACAGCAGGCCTGGCCCCCAGTAGTCTTGGGGTGTGCTGATGACCCGGGGCTGGAGAGACTCTAGAGCCCCCTGCTTTGCAGCATCCTTCATCAAAGCCACCACCCCACACAGAGAGAGGCCTCAGCAGCCTCAGGCCCAGCCCAGGAGGTGTGATGGTCACAGTCATGCAGTCCCTCCTTCAGTTGCCCCTGGACACCGGGCTGCTGCTAGAGCAGGTGGGAGAGGAGGTGGCAGGGCCAGAGTGGCCTGAGCACCGACAGCTGAGCTGCAGCCCTTCACAGATCCCACCCCAAGGGCAGCTGAAAAGCTTTGTGCAGACTCAGCCTGGTGCAGGGCAGCTGGTGGGAGGTGGGCAGAGGTCTCAAGTGCCAGCACCAGGTCTGGTATGGCAAAACAAAGATATGAGATAGGCTTGAAGCGGGGTGAGGAGATTGACCCCATCAGGCTGGCTCTTCAGAAAGGCGCCAGGGGTCCCAAGAGCGTGAGGCACCCAAAGGCCAGCACGAAGGCACACAGGCCCTGCTCCGGAAGGGCCTGGGGTGTTTCACTTCAACGGAGGCCAAGAGCCCACGAAGGCCAGGCCACTGGCTGCCCATCTCCGTCCCTGCCACGACCTGCCTGGGACCTGGAGGCTGGAAACAGGCAGAAGGAAGTGGAAGGGGTGGCCAGGGACAGGGCATCGCGCCATGGGAAAGCTGGGGGGCTGTGCCCACAGCAGCTGGGAGCTCTGATGCTCCCACCCCGCGGTGGTGGGTGGTGGTGACTGCAGTGTGGGCTCCCTGGCCACTGGGTGCCCTGCTCTGCCCTGAGTAAGCACATGGCGCCAGAGAGTGGGGACGCACTGCAATGGGGGCGGCCCTGCTCCGATCTGACGAGCATTCTTAGGAGAAGAGGGGATTTTGGACACAGACACACAGGACAGGGAGAAGTCCGGTGAAGACAGAGGCAGACACCCAAGTGACGTATCTACAAGGCAAGCAATGCCGATGGCTGGCAACAGCCGACCGGAACATTCTCTGCGTGCCGTGGCCGCAGGGCACACAGCCCTGTCTGCACTGTGACGTGGGACTCTGGCCTCCAGAGTTACTGTTGTTCTAACCCCCCAGTTTCTGGTGTCTTGGCTATGGGAGCCCCAGGAAACTCTTACAGGGGCCTACTGGCCTCAACCTTGCAGCCCCTACCCCAATACCCCACTTCCCAGACTCGAGCCCAAACAGCCCCACTGCAGCCTGAAGTCCTCTGCTCGGCCAGGCCGCTGGTGCTCAGCCAGCGTGGTCCCCACGGTGGGAACCACAGTGAGGGTGGCCTCTGCCAGAGAGTACAGGCCTCATCCTGCTTGGGGCTTGGGGGTGTGGGGGTGGGTGGAGGGTCACATTTCCCTCCGAGGCCAGCAGGTGGCTCCTTCTTCTGCCTGTGGAGACGGGCCCTGCCCCGGCTTCTCACAAAGGGACGGGCACCAGGCACTGCCCGCAGGACCAAACCCGCATTATCCCATTTAGTCGTGGGGACCATTCAGGAGGTATCACTGCTCCTTATTTTACACATGGGGAAACTGAGGCACAGTGCAGTACAGGGACTGAAAGTCACACAGCCAGCACCTATAGGACAAGGCCAAGCTTTGCCTTGTGCCAGAGCTGTGCTCTTTCTCACGGCCCCCAGCTACTTTGCCAGGCAGCCTGGGAGGGACAGCACACAGGCCCCGCTGGGGAAGCTTGACCAAGGTCATGTCGGGGCAGCATCCAGGCCTGGGGGCGGGAGGAGCTGCCGAAAGACGGGAGTTCAGAGGTGGGCTACCTTGCCGTGACACCAGATGATGGATATTAAACATCCAAAGGAATCTTCTGGAACAAATGTTCAAATGCCTCTCAAATCCATAATACAGCACAATCTAACTCCTGTCCTATCTTCTCTTTTGAAAAAGCTTAGGAAACCATTCCTTGCTTTTTCTTTTTTTCCGAAAGAGAAATCAGGAAAAAAGTGAGAACTGTCCACTGTTCTGGGCTGGATTGGGCCCCTCCAGAATTGTTACATTGAAGGCCTAACCCCCAGGCCCTGAAAAGGAGACCTTCTCTGGAAATGGGGCACTGCTGAGGTCATTAGCTCAAATGGGGTCACAGTGGGGAAGGGGGAAGCCGGACAACAGCCGGTGTCGTTACCAGAGGGCAGGAAGGGGGCATGTGGCGCAGAGGATGGCCACGCTGCTGGGGCATCTCATCATCACCTGGGGCCTCACAGGGCCCCAGGCCAGGACTCCTCAGCGGGAGCCAGCCCCGCCTTCACCTTGGAAGCCTTCAGGTCTGTGTGCCCATCCCTTTCTGTCCCTTGAGCCCCCCAGTTTGAGGTGTCTGCAGCGGCGGTTCCAGCACTCTAACCCGAGACCCTCCTGCTGACCGAGTCCCACCCATCCGCCCTGGTGAAGGACGTGCAAATCTGTCCATCCCTTCAGACGGCCTCCGGACAGGAGCACAGACGACAAGAATCAAGAGAGGGAGGGCATAAGAGGAGAGAACCTTGTGGCCTCCTGCCCAGGCGCCTCCGGCCCAGCCCAGCAGTCCTGGGTGGTCTATGCTCGTGGGTGGTCCTGTCGCCCTCCTGGCACAGAGCAGGTGGCCCTGAGGCCCAAGGCCACGTGGCCACAAACAGTTGAGTTGGGGAGAGCAATGAGGGCTGGCAGTGGCTTGAGGAGAGCGAAGCAGTCCCCGGGGCCCCTGAAAGTGACCTGTAGGGACAAACGTGCTGTCCCTCTGGCCTTGGCATCTTCCAACGTGCCTGGTGGGGGGGCGGGGGGGAGCGGCTCTCAGCAGCCCTGGATTTCCACAAAGCTCCCGGTCCTGGTCACTGGCACGAGCTTGGTTCGGTGCAGAGTACAAGGGGGTGTCATTGGCTCTTCGCCCACACACGAGAGCACTGCCACCTGCCCAGACACTCAGGGCTCAGAAATCAGGGCAAATCGGGCCACTTCTGCCCCATCTCCCAGTTGCCAGTCCCTCCCCTGGAGCCAGCTCACAGCACCCACCTGGGCTCCCGGCTCCCGGAGGGGCTGGGCAGACTCGGCACGCGCTCAATCCAAATCGCCCGAGACACCTTGGCTCTGCCTCCGTCCACACTGGCGAAGAAGGCAGCTGTGAGCGGCACGGGCATGGAGCCTCCCTCCCCGCACTGGAGAACAGCCTTGGTGCGGTGAATTGGGCCAACAGATGGGAGAGCCCCAAACTAGCCTGTGAACAGCAGGACCCACGCCCCGGGGGCAGGCCCGCCATACCCCACGGCGGGCACCTTTTCTGTGTCGGCCACCACTGGGCTCAGCGGCACAAGGGTTGAGATGCCACAGATGAGCACCGAGCAGACAAGGGTGAGGTGCTCTCTCCCCAAAGCCAGGCCGTTTTGCTCCTTTCAGCTCCACAACATCCAGCCAGACAGGCTTTCCTGACTGCTGAGCCCCGCCTGTCACAGGGCCTGGGGACTCGGACCCCGCAGAGGCTCACAGCGAGTGAGTGGCAGGCAGCAGAGCTAGCGGTCCCCGGCCCGGGGCAGAGATGAGCAGGCGATTACCTGCTCGAGCCAGGGCTGGATGTCGTCACAGTGGGTGGGTCCTGCTTCTTCTCAGAAGGCCCATCCTCATCCAACACCTCGACCCTTTGGGTGAGAAGAAAAACATGCCCCAGGGCACCCTCAGCCTGCTTAGCTGCCTGAAGGTTGCTCCCTGCCTGTGACCCAGGGTAGGGGCTCAGTGACTACAGTTTGGTTAGGACAGCATCCTGGGTTGAAGGGGTTTCCCCAAATTCCTGACCCTTGGGCCCCGTGCCTGTGAGCCCGTTTGCAAACAGGATCCGTGCAGGTACAGAGGTGAGGGGAGGGCCCCTGGGGGCACTAAGCGGTGTCTGACAAGAAGGAGGATGCGGGATGGAGACACACTGAGGAAAGGCCACGGGGTGGGGGCGGGGGGTGCTGGAGCCACATGTCCACACCAAGCTTGCTGGTAACACCAGATGTTGAGACAGGCCCGGGCAGATTCTGCCCCAGAGCCTCTGGACGGAAGCAGAACCCGGGACAGCATGGCTGAAAAACAAGAAGGCCCCGGCCTGCCACGGGTTCCAGGCAGAGGGCCCAGCCGGTGCAAAGCCCTGAGGCGGGACCAGGAAGGTAACAGTGGGTGCTGGCAGCACGGGGGGAGAGCAGATAACTGCGCATGTGAGACCTCGCTGAACCTCCTTGGCAGGCCGCGCCTTCTCGTTTTTCAGTACTGGGCTCACTGATGCCTCGTCATGGAGGCTTCGCTGCCCACACAATGGAATGTTCCTGAAATCTAACTTCCCCTCTTTCTTCCTTGCCTTTTCCAAGTAGTTTCCTCCTCCAGATCTCCTGTCTCACCTAACGGTGACACCTCCCTCCTCCCCCAACCAGAGTATCCTCATGTCCTGATCATTCACCCTTTGTCTCCAATGTCATGGTCACCTCCAAGAGCCTGGCCAGGCAAGGGCTCCCAATGACAAGTGTCTGGATCCTAGGCCAGTGACCCTCTTCCAGGACACTGTACAGCCCGTGCCTGCTAGGTTGGGAGGGAGGGCCAGGGAACAACTTCAGATTCCTGTCACTACTTCCGCTTCAAAACCCAGAGGCCTTTGGGAACTCAGGGCTCTACCTCAGGCCAGTGGCCTAGTCCTGTTAGCCATGGGCAAGTGGAAGTTTCTGGCCATAAACTGTGTTCTCAAAGTCAGGCTCCCGACTACACAACATTGGCTGTTGGGGCCTCGTGTACTATCATGGTCACCCAGGAGCTTGCCTGGTTGTGAGACAGAAGGTGCCAGCCCCACATCAGCCCCTGCTCAGGGACAGCACCCCCATCCCACACCCTTCTCCCCAGGGCCCCACTCCACCCCTGCCAACAGGAGCCCTTCCCAGTGGGCGGCAGCAGGCTGCTGAGGCCTCCCCGGGACACTTGCCTCTTGGCGATGAATGGCGCCTGCGGCTCCTGGGAAAGGCTGCTGGAAAAGAGACAGAAGGTGACATGTGGGCAGCGCCACAGACTCTCTCTTGTTCCTGGCCCTGATGGCAGAGCCAGATCTTCGTTTTCCAGAAAGTGCATCTGAGAAACCCAGAAGGTCCAGCCTGGAGGGCCCTCTGAACCTACTCCTTGGCAGGCAGAAGGGGAGGATGCCAGGCAGAAGGTGGCATGTCCTGCACTGCAACTCACCCTGAGCTCTTCTTGGCCGCCGACAGGACGTAGGAGTGCTCCCGCGCAGCCGTCTTCCTCAGCACGCTGCTTGCGGCCTCGGACCTGGGGCGGCATGGGCGTACGGTGGGACCGCTCTGTCAGCCGGCCCAGGCGCTCAGCCTGGCTCAGGCCCCAGGGGCAAGCGGAAGGCAGACGCGTGCCTGCTCTGAGGACTAGTCACAGAAGCCTGGATATGCTGCCCGTGCATCCTGGCTCACGGAGCCCTCCAACCGCTCACCCACCAGTTACAGGTGAGGAAACTGCGGCACGGGGAGCTTCACGACTTGGCCAAGACAATGTCACCAGTGGCAGAGTGAGCAGTCAATGCCCGGCAGCCTGGCTCCGGAGCGCCTGGCTTCTCCCCCACTCCCTGTGGGCCGGAGCCACCGGCTGTGGACACTGCCCTCGGGCTTGCCCCTGAGCCAGCGCCTTGAGCGAGGGGGTATTTCTGTGTTTGAGCTGCAGTGCAGCCAGCAGGTGAGACTGAAGGCAGGCCCAGCCCCGGGGGGGAGGGCTCCAGCCAAGCTGCTGCCCAAACATTTAGGCCTCGCTTTGGGGCAAGGGCACTGGGACCTCTGGAGCCTGGCACTCAGGCCCCGCCCAACCTCACTCTGAGCGCTCCTCCCAGGCACTGTGCATTTTGGTCCCAAAATGTGTTCAGGGCCCTTTTAACAAACTGCTACAAAGTGCAGAGGCAGCGCCCCTCTGTGCACAAGTGGGGCTTCCCCACACCCTCGTTACCTAGCTGCTGCCCCATGGAAGCTGCACGGGAGGGTCCCCTGAGCTGGCCCGGCGCTGAGCGGGAGGCTCTGGGACTGCAGGACACCGCCACTCACAGGCCCTGTCCGCCTTGCGCTGTCTGAGAGACCTGGGCCCTCGCCGTGCGGGCATTGTTACCTGCGCTTCTGCTCATCAGAGGAGAAGGGCACCTCCTCCTCCTCAGGGTCCCCTGATGATGAGCTGCGTCGGATGTTGTAGGGTGCCCTGGGAGAAGGAGTGGGGGGGACTTGAGGGTGCCGACCCGCCACAGGCCGCCTCCCTCAGCAGCCTGCTTCCTGACTTCCAAAAACAAGAGCCACACGCATGCTGGGCATGATGGAGGAAAGGAGATACAAGGCCAAGAACCTGACTCACACAAGGAGGTGGGGGTAGAAGGGGTTGGCGTAACCCATTAACCCAGTTGTAGAAACCAAGACCCTGAGGCAACAACCCCAGATCAGGAGGCGCCACACCCAGAAACTATCAGCCTGCTGCAGGGAGTGTCAGGGGCACAGACCATCCACCCACCAAGATGCGCCTCCCTGAAGAGGATAAAACCTAACGCAGCCCTCACAACGGGGCAGCTGCTGTCCTGCAGGGCAGCAGCCTCCTGCCTGCCCGTGATCTGCACCTGCTGGGGCTTTTCCTCACTGACCTCCCTCAGCGGAGGCCGCTCTCCTCAAGGCCCCCGCCTGCAACCACGCAGGCCTCTCTCAGCAACCGGTCCCTTTCGGGGCAGCCCTTCCTGCCCGCTTGTGTCCATGCAAGTGTCTTTTACTCTTCCATCCCTTTCCCTAATAAGCCTGCCCTTTAAATATAACAACCATCTCTGTCTCGTGGAGAAACTCGCCTGGGAAACTCGCCGCGTGCCGCTGAAAGGGCAGCTCTGGGGACGGACACCTTTCCCAGAGGGAACCCAAGGACCCTGCACTAACTCCAAAAACGACATCAGTATTGCCACTCAAGTCACTTCCTCTCGCTGTGCCAACCCTAACTGCCTCCAATACCCAGCTCAAATCTTTAGCCTTCTCCACAAAGACTCCCTGGCTGCTCCGCGTCACTGGACAAAAGGGATGAGGAATACACAATAGAAAGATGAGAGGCCCTGGGACTCAGACGCCTCTGTGCAGATCCCCCCCGCCCCGACATGCAGGAGGGCCACAAGGGGAGCCCCAGAGAATGTTAGGGATTGCTATCCAGAAAGGAACACAGATCAGCACAAATGCCCACAGCTGGTAGGCTGCCAGGGCCAGTGGCACGCTTAGTGTCATCAGTGTCCCCCTCACCCCTCAACCCACATTGAGAGCCCAGCCCACACAGGTGCAGAGGCATGCCCAGGAAGCAGAGCCAGCCAGCACCCTCGCCACCATGGCCCGCGATGCTGTCTCCAGACCGGCCAGCCCCTTCTACCAGCTTCCCTCCGATCAGAGAGAGCACAGCTGTCCCACCGTCAGGGCGGTCGCCGTCTGCTAGGCTCCGGGCTGCAGTGGTGGCCGGCAGGAGCTGTCAGCTGCCAGACCAGCCCTCCGAGGCAGGCCCAGCTCAGAGGCAAGGGCCAGCAGTGCTGAGCGGCCTTGGCGAGAGTGGCGCTGAGTGTGGGGGGGTGTACTCACAGCTTCTTGTAGTCCTCCGTGGTCATCTTGTAGCCAGAGGAGGAGAGGCGAGGAGGCCCAGCAGGAGCTGCTCTCACCAGACCTGTGGTACTGCAGGGGGAACAAGTTTGCATGTGCCCCCTCCCTCTGCAGGCCCCCTTTGTGTGCCCCAGCCCCAAAGGACCCTGGGTCCTCCAGACTTGACTACAAAGCCCCGCAGGCACGTGGCAAGTGGACAGCCTCTCCTCTTGCTCACCACCTCGCCTGATACCCAGAATGTCTTTGACCTCCCCTCACAGGCAGACCCAACCCCTTGTCCCCTGCTGTCTGACAGCGCCCCAGGTTCAGACTGGAGGAGGCTGGACTGAAACTCACAGCAGGGCACAGGTCCCTCCCAGCCGCCAGCATAATCACTGTGAGTGGCCCTGGGACTCCCAGAGTGCCTGGAGCCAGCCCATGCCCCCACCTGTGGGCGTCAACCCCGACCCAACTCTTCTTGTCACCCCTGCACTGACCCCCAGGGCCCCGACACAGGGTGTGCTCTCAGCCATATGGTTGGCCCAGGCCCGCACGCCTCCCTGCGGCTTTGCACGCCATAGACACACCTCTTTGGAGCTCCATTGGCCTTGGGGAGGTGCTGCTGGGGCTGCGATGAGCTGTCTATGGGCTTTGTGAACACTCCCCTGAAAGAGAGCCCCGAAGAAGCAAGTAAGCACCCAGGAGAAGCTGGAGGGCACGGGGGGTGGGCAGGGGCCTGGGGTCACCTACCGGATGATGTAGCCAGTGGGGGCCCTGGCACTCGGAGGCCTGCCAAAGGAAGGGATGGTGTGAGGGGAGGCCTTGCTGGGGGCGGCTCCCCCGTGACAGCAAAGCACGTGCTGGTGCATGTTCCACAGAGGTCAGAAGGAAGGAACCCGAGGCCTGCAGTGTCTGCCTGACTCTCCCAGCCACCCAGCCTGGCTCAAAGCCAGCGCCAAGAAGGCAGGCCCTCGCCCTGGTCTGGCTCTCCTGGCCTCCGGAACCCCCTCCCCTAGAAGAGCTCTCAGGGCTTGCACAGCCCGCGCCCTGCTGTTGTCAGAGGCCTGAGCTGGAGACCTTGGCAGGCAGAGGCCAGGCCCCCTGGCCTGACCCCAGCATGGCCTCCTCCGGGAAGTCTCACGAGGACTCATAGGCAGTGCCCAGATACGGGCCAGATGAGCCCCGCTGCCCCTCACTTCTTACTCCTCTGGGGGCGCCCCTCCTCCAGGCCTGGGCTACCTGTCTCACAAGTCTTAATGGAAGTGAGCACCAGAGGGTATGGCCAGGGCTTGGGCATCAGCTATAGAATATTTGGCTCCATGGGCTGGGTGCCCCGTGCTTGGGAGCCACCAAGGGGGTTCAAAACACTTGAGTGGGGAGCCAGGAGCTGACAGTGCAGGGTGGCCAGCCAGGCCTGTCAATTCTGAGCTTGAGGCAGGAGCGAAGGACTCGGCAGATGGGCATCCATCCAGGAGCAGGAGGCTTGGAGTTGGACCCGTGGGGCAGGTTAAAGGGGACCCTGTGTGTGGTGGGGGCAGGGAAGGGCAACACAGAGCCCCAGTGCTCCCTGTGCCCAGACCCTGTCCTTACTGGGGGCAGCCCCTAAGGTGAGCTGAGAAAGAAAGCTCATTACCTGTTTAGCCGCACAAGCGTCAGGGAGGTGAGACCATGGCCCCGGCCCCCGAGAGCCAGTCTCCCGTAGGCCTCAGGGCTCCCCTGCTTTGGGCCCCAAGCCACAGCACCTCAGGGCATGCTTTCCAAGTATCCCGCAAACCGAAGCCCAGGATAGGAGCTGCGTTTCCAGTGTGCACAAGCACCCAGCATGTAGACTATCTTTGAACCACCCTCGGGCCCCTGCCAACCTGCCAGTTCCCCCAGGATGTCCACAGTTCAGAACCCCGAGTCACTGCTACGTAAAAGGCCTCGGGACAGAAAGTGGACAGGCTGTTCCCTTAGGCCAACTATCGAAACATGTCACCCTGAATTGGGGAGACGGTTGGAGCACATGTGACTGCCAAGTGCCCCCAGCCATCAGGGTTATGTGTGAGTGCCAAAAGCACGTCAGGGGCACGGCTCGCTCTCTGCAGGGGGTCTCAGGATGATTTCCATCCTGTTGACACCTGGAGCCCTGGAAGCCCAGCATGGGGGGGGGGGGGCAGCCGGTCCCAAGGTTGCGCAGCGAGAGGGCAGAGAAAAGGCCGCTCCTGTGCATTTCAAATGCCTCACTTCTCAGCTGGGGTTTCCTCCCTGGCCCCCAGGACTGCAAAGGGGCACGGCCAGCAGCCATCTGGACACCACCTCTTACCTGGCCTTCAAGACCTCCGCAGTTGATGAGAAGGATGTGGCACGAGACCGGGCAGGGGGCAGCTCTCTGGGGAAAGAGGGGCCCCAAGAGTGGCTTCCGGGCTCCCTGCCATCAGCCACCTGAGAGCCGCCTGGGCCCCAAGGTGCGGAGTCCCAGGCCAGCTGGCCCACCACTCCCACTGCACCCGCACCCCTTCCCGGCCCACCATCCGCCCTGTGACTTCCGCCAGCGGAGTCTCGGCCCACTGCTTTCCCACGCCCCAGCCCGCGCGGTCTGTGGTGGCCACGCGCCCGGCTCCGAAGGGAGGAAGCCCGTCCGCAGGGCACGGGGCTGGGTTTGGGCAGGCCCGGCGGATCACGACCCCTCCCGGTCCCTGCCGGCTCCCCCGCCGCCTGTGCTTACAGGGTGCGCCCCTCCGATTCATCCTGCTTGGTGATCCAGCTCTTGTCCCCCTTCAGCGTGGTCCGCACCTTCATCTGCTTGAGGACGTTATTGCGCTCCTCCTCGCCAGGCAGGAGCGCCTTCCCTGGTGCGAGCCGGGCGGGCACAGTCGGAGGGGAGCCCAGCCCACGACCCCGGGGCCCCCTTCCGGCCCTCCGGCTATGTCCCGTCACTGTGCTTGCCGACCCTGAGAGGCCCGGCCTGGAACTCGGAGCCCGGGACACAGGGAGCGCAGGCCTCACCTTTGCCGCTGCTCCCCAGGGCTGAGATACTCATGGCGTCTGCTCCGTGCCTCCCGTCTCACTGGATTCCACAGGGCACCTGGGGGCAAAGGCCAGCACACGACTTTCACCTCATGCCTGTCACAGCTTGCGGTCACCATGCGGTCCCTGGCATACCCAGGCTGTCCTTTGGGCATCGGGCAGCAGGAGCTGGCGGAGTCCTGGGCTATGGGCACCGGCCAAGGGTGGTGTACTTGCTGATCGGCCATGGCCGGGCGACACACCCACCTGTCTGTGGACCTGGGGAGCAGGGCTTGTTCTGCCTCTGGGAGAACCCTCCTAGAGCGCCCTGGTGGCCAGATGGCAGGTACGGGGAGACGGTGGCATCAGGGAGTGTCACGGTGGCAGGATCCCTGGGGAAGCCTGGGGACTTGAGGGATGGACGTGCACAGCCTTCAGGGCTGCCAGATGGGGGGGGTGCAGCTCCACTCCTTAGACCCGTCTGGTAGACCCTGGGCACTTACCTCTCCGGGCCACCTCCATTTCCTTGTTTGTAAAAAGGGAGTTTTAAAAAGTCTACCTTTCAAGATGGCTGCGGGGCCAGAACACACCAATATTCTGCCAGTGCCCAGTGCCACCAGGCATGGTGAAGGGCACAGGACAGCAACTGTCCTGGCTGGGAGAGGGACCTGTCGGTGGTCCCCAATTGGTTGGCTCACGGCCCTGGGCAAGCAGTCCTTGGTGGTTCAGGGCCTGGCTCCATCTCTGCTGAGGAAAGCCCTGGGGCTTTGCTGTCAACTGCTACTGACCCTTGGGCGCCAGGCAAGGGTGGGTGTGGTGAGGGCTTGTCACAGTGTCTGGGAAGCAGGAGGCGTCGTGACCTCTAGGCTCATGCCGCCTGGTGCCCGGCTCTCTCCTCTCACCCACTCTCCTCCTCCCTCCTGCTCTCTGACCTCAAGTCAGGCCCTGCCGTCCTGTGCCCAGGGAGGGGTGGTCGCAGTAGGCTCTGAGGCCCCCCACAGCCCCAGGAAGGCTGAACACCCAGGAGGGGCTGTGAGCAGCCAGCCTTGACCAGCACAGCTGGCCCCGTGGGCTTCGAGAGAGGGGCTGGAGTCTCGGGCCAGCGGGCATACCGGGGAGCAGGCCCCCAGCAGCCACGCACTCCCGAGGCAGAGCAGCCTCCCTTTTAAAGGGGCTGCTACCCTTAGGGATCCTCTGGGGCCTGCCAGCTGGCAAGGCCTGGACATGTTTCCGTGGAGGTCAGGGGCTCACTGAAACCAGCAGGGCAGTGGGCCAAGAGAAAACCAAATTTGCCACATCAGCAAGAGCTGGAGTGCCCATAAACGGCACTGCGCGGGCCGCCCAGGAGGCCGGAGCCTGCGGCGTGCCAGGAACGGCACCTCATCACGTCGCGTGGGAATCCATGTGCCCAGCCCCGCCCAAGGTGGCCACATTAGAATTCCAGTGAGTGGGGCTCACTGCACAGGACCCCCAGACCACACAGACCTTGCTGGCGCATCCCGGCAGCCCCGGAGCACCTCCACTTGGGCGGGGTGCGCAGGCAGTGTCGCTGCTTGAGACCCTGGTCTGCCCGGCTCCTGGCTGACTGTGAGCCTCTGGCCTCGAATGGCAACCTCCTCGCACTGCTTTTTAGGGTTCCTGCGGGGCGTTCCCAGTGCCCCCGGACAGACCTGTTCCCAACATTGCCTGGAAAGTTTTCCCCAAATCAGAATCATACAGGCCACTTGAAAAATCAGGACAGACTCACACACTCACAGTACGGCGGGCAGAGGGGCACGGGCACTCTTGGGCCAAAGGTGCAAGGACATGCCCACAGCAAGGGGGGCAGAGCCGTGGTGGGGTCCCTATTTCACAGCTAAGACCTCGGCTCTCTGGGCAAAGGCGGGGGCAGGCTTCATTTCAGAATAACAAAGCTGAAAGAATCAGAAAGTAGAGCCTTCCCATGGGAATGAACAGCGGGGCAGCTTTTAGGGAGGCCCAGCCAAAGCTGTAGGCGATGGGCAGAGGTTTGAATCCATACCCTGGCTGGAGAGCTGGCTTTTCCCTCCATTTCACATCCCCACCCCCAGGATGCCCACCTCCGACCTCCTCCCTGGTCCATCTGCCTCATTCGCCAACATGCACCAGCCCCGAGGGCCCCTGGCCCGCAACAGCCTGCCCCTCGCTCGGCTGCGTCTGCTCCCCCGGCGCCCCCAGGCCCTGATGCAGCTGCTTTCCTCAGCAGCCTCCCCCATGTCCACGCTCTGCTGCAAACAGAGCGTGCGCCTCAGTGTCCCTGGAAGGTGTCCCTGTCGGGCAATCCTGTGCCCTTGTGTGGGCCCAGCTCCAACCCAGAACGGCCCTGCCCCTCCCATCCGGTGATAATGTCTCCCAGTCCTGGCTTCTGTGTATCACTAAGGAAGAGGCAGGGCGTAACATACAGCGTGTGGGATGGTGCCACTCACTTGAAAACATATTTGCAAACAAGCGCAAAGGGAAAGAGACAAGCAGAAGGGCGCGCCAGAACCCGCTCCTCGAGCCGGTGCGCTGCTCAGCGGGTGAAGACTCGGCTGCGTGGCTCACACGCCACCGCGGCTGGAGCTGCTTGGACAGTTAACATTGGGCCTGAAGAACTGGTGCCAGCTGAGCAGTGCCTTGGAACACTGAGTGAGGGGCGCACCAATGCAGTAGCCTCACCCCCCAGGAATTGTCCCTTCCCAGGCAGGGACACCCCAAGGCGCAGGGTACACCTGGGCCTCGAGGGCTGCCATACCCTGGAAAGCAGGTGCCCACAGCCTTCTCCAGCAGACTCGCCCTCTTCCCTTGCACGCTCCGGGTGGGAGGGTTGGCGGGCGGCGGCGCATTTGGGCCTGACCTCCAGAGGTGGTGGCAGCGGCCGCAGTGATGACCGGCGGGCAGGCTTCCACGGCCACGCAAAGCGCGGGGGGCACCATGACAGGGACCGGACGCCGGCGCCGCGGCCCCGGCTCAGCTGAGGACTCGCCCTCCGCCCACGCCCAGGCCGTTCCCTGAGGCCGGAGGCACAGCGGGGCACCTTGGGCCTAACTCCCGCCTCCCCGGGGCGAAACGGGTGGGCGCCCCGGGCCACACCTCCAGGGTGACCTGGGCCGTGGGAATCGGAGCCTCGTCCCCCACCTGGCACCCCTGCGGGCCCTGTACACGGTATGTGGAGGGCTCCTTCGAGCACCTGCTGCCAGCACCGGTGGCACGGGTCTCAGCAGCCGACCTGCACCTGCTGGAGGGAAGGGACTCAGGGCCGTGGTCAGCCTGGTCCAAGCCCCAGACCACAGATCCCCTGAGGAGGGCAGTTCCGACCCAGCAGCCTGACCTGGACCTTTCTGCATCCCACACGTCTGTCTCCCTCCTGTCCAGTGGGCCCCTGAGACTCAGATGCAAATGGAAATCTCGAGAAGCTGCTGGCAGTGAGGCACCGTGTCTCCTGCTCAGCCCACCAAGAAGGGGGACCTCTGCTGCTGTCTCTGCTGGCAGGCCCTACGCAGCCCCACGTGCCTGTGCTTCTGTCCGATGCTCTGGACTCGGTCTTCGAATCTGTGAGGTGGTGCTCAGCCCCCAAGCCTGCGGATGTGCTCGCCGGGCCTTCTCCACAGGACACCCCAAGCCAGTGCATGTGCTGTCCCCTGGAATTAGGTGCCAGTTCTTTTCCATCCCATGATGTCTTGGTACTTGTGGGTGTCCTTAGCTGCCCGGTGGCCCAGGCAGGTGTGATTCTGCCAGTGCCCCACTCTGTACCACCCTGCAGGGCCGTGACCCCGCTCCCATGCTGGGGGAAGTCCGCTGCTGCTTTAGGAACTGCCCTGCAGCCCTGCAGGGACCTGGCCTTCCTCACCAGCCACCCCTGGGGGTAGACCCCTGAACACTCTCTTGGCATGGTCTTGACGGCAGTGGCACTCGCCCCATGCCAGCCTCTCCCAGCGCAGCAGGCGGGCGCCCACCCACACTCTTAGCCCTCACTGCCTCCTACCTCTTCCATTAGCCTGCAGAGGGCTGTAGGGGCAGGCAGCGGCGGGGGAGGGGGTGTCCCTGCAGGGCGGGGTGAGGGCAAGGGGGGACAGTCCCTCCCAGCTGCCCTTGGCCTCCCAATGCCAAAGGGACACCCCCTCGCACCTTCCTTTCTAGGCTGCCCGGCAATGCACAGGGGAAGGGACCCTTGGCCCTGACTGGATAGAGAGAAGCCCAAAGCCAGTGTGGGGTGCAGGGAGCCCATCTTCCTGTGGAGGCAGGAGCCCATACAGGCAGGTCAGCGGCGGGAGGGAGCCGGCCAGAGAGGCAGACGGCATGCAAACGCTTGACTGCCCTGTGAGGAGGCAGAGGTGGACAGAGGAGCGGCAGGGGGATGGGGTGCCCTGTCACCCCACAGGGACTGGCTCAGAGGAACTTTCGTACAGTCGCCACCCTGCTTGACTCCCCACAGTGCACACCTGGTTTGCCAAGGAGACCTCTGTGTCTCTGCCCTTCCAGCTACCAGCTCACTGACTGGCCTTGAGCCTCAGGCCGGGAGGCTAACCGAGCCTTCATTTCTCACTAGCTGGCAGGAGGCAGGTATGGCGTCCAACTCGGGCACAGATGGCCTGGGGTGGCACAGAGCACCATTCTGGGGCGCTCACTCTGGCTCTGCTGCCCCCACCAAGCAGGCCACCCCAGGATGGAGAAGCCCTTGCTGGCTCCCCACACAGCGGGGACAGACTGGCTTCTTCCAGGCGACCGGGGCATGGAGGGGCAGCCAGGGAGCTGGGCCCATGAGCGCCCTCAGGCCTCCAACAGGGGCCTTTGTGACAAGTGAAAGGAAAGAGGGGCTGAGTGACTACCTTCATCCCACCCTGGGTGGCAGGGGTCCGGGGAGCGTGTCGGATGCCAGGCAAGGACCTCCAAGGTAAACCAGGAGGGAGGACGAATAACACACACCTTTACGCCCGGCCTTCAGGGGGAAGGAGCCCCGGCCAGAGGGCATGGGTGTCGGGGCGTGTTTGAAGGTGTGGGTGGTGTGTGCTGGGCGCTGGCCACCGTGAGCAAGCAGGAGAGGGCATGCTGTGGGCAGAAGAGCCGGGGCAGGGCTTCTTC